ACAGTTAGCCAGTGTTTTAGTAGTCAGGATTTACAAATCGGGGAACGGGTGGGGGCATGAACCCATGGCACGAGTCCTAAACTTGAGGGCATGGGATACATTGACCATTCAACAGCAGTAATTGCTAGCAGAGATCAAGTATGCTTAACAGTTTATGGTGTTAGTATGGCTATGCAGTTACCCTACAGTAAAGAATGTCTTAATACGTACAGAAGCCATTTACCGATTTGTGTGTAGTTAAAATACTTAATTTCCAGTTGAATTTTTTTTTTTTATTATATACTTACCTTTAACTCCCTAAATTATTACGTGTTAAGTAGATTATAACCTTTAAATGACCAGGCATTACGAAGGTGTTTTTCCAACCAAAAATAGTGCGTCAAAATCTATTAAAAGTATGTTTGCACATTCAAAATTTATGAATTTTTGGAAATATTCCTCTGACTGAGCCTGCAGGTTTAATATTAAATTTTCTATAAACATTAAACTTAAAAACTTACTAAGTCACATCGTTAAAATTCAGAGTTTTACTGAAGGAAGTTTTCCATATAACTGATATTTTACATAGAAACTTTCAAAATAACCTGCACTAACCATCTAGACAACATTCACCTGACGAACATGACTACTCTTGTGGGGCACAGGTGTCTGCCCGAAATACCTACGCATGCTAGTGGCCTTTGTAATTCATATTTTGTATATAAACCACAAATTGTAATTAATATTCTATATGTAAACCCCGCATTGTAATCTTTACAGAGTAAAGCACTTCAGTTTCAAGTTAGCACACGTGTAGCGAGTGTAGGGATCAGCTACCCCTACACTAATGGACGGTATACCAATGGTATCTTTCAGTTACTGAAATTATTATAATCAAGGGGGAAGCGCTAAACCCGGAGGATTATACAGCTCCTGGGGGGGGATGTGGAAGGCATTCAGGCTTAATTCGGGGAACTGGAGCACAGATCCAATTCCCTAAATCAAGAGCCCCTCACCAACATCAAGGAACCTTCCTTGAGGGGTCAGTTACTGAAAAAACCAGCCAAGTCTTCACTACTAAATTTGGGTATTTCTGTTTACGAGAACTTGGAAGTTGAAACGGCTTTTAAAAAGTATATTAAGCTCTATACCCGTAAGGATCATTGATGAAAAAGTAGGTTTAGTTCTATATTTTTATATTTTAAAAAATGTATTTTGTGTACAGAGTTATCAAGGGGAAGCACTAAACACGTGGGATTATACAGCGCCAAAGTGGGGTGTGTGGAAGGTATTCAGGCTTAATTCAGGGAACTTTAGCACAGATCCAGTTCTAGATCAAGAGCCCCTCACCAGCATTAAGGAACCTCCCTAGAGACGAGACTTAATATGTAAATTGTTGGCCGGATTTGAAGGATAATCCTCAAGAGATAATCTTTGTAATTAATCATGAAAAGGAAGCAGAAGTTCCATTGCTCGTTGTGGTTGGTCTTCAGACTCTTACAAGACAAGGTTTATAATTTTGTGTAACGAAATTAATAGCCATTACAGACTAGTGGTCTAGGCACCGAAGGCGGACAATGGCAGAAAAAATTTACGAAGAATACCGTGACTGGAATACATAAATAACCCGGACATGGGAGAATAACTTAAGACTAGTTTACTATCAGTACTATCACCATCTCCACTTTGTCCCGTCCCTACTCTTATCTATATACCGGCTCCCTTACCTTCGTGTTACTAGTTAATGGTCCAGATCTGAACAAAACTAAGCTCGTCTTTCATGTGCGGGTTATTTAGACCTAGCAGACTAATAAATTTCTCGGCTTATTGCCAGTATCACATGCCTAAGACAACATGTGCTGCATTCAAGGATTGACCGATTACAGAATCCAGGCTGAGGGACTTATTACTACTGATCTTCAACCATTTTCTTTGTAAGGCACTGACGAAGCCACTGGCGAAAAGTTTCCACAACAGATACCCAAGTGTTGCACCTGTGTAATTTATCAATTTGTCGGTGTCTGAACATTTATGTACACTAGACTTTATACCCCGAACATTGTAATTTAGATTACAAATCTTCGCCCAATTTTAATGGGTCATGCACTGCACTAGGGGGGGGGGGAAATGAATAGTGCTGGGAAATTTAAGTAGAAAATTGTATTTAGAGCATTGGGTGTCCAGAAAGTGAATACTTCCACGGGGCCTACGATAAATGAATCAAAAGGTTTGACTGGTCTTGGCAGTTGGGGTTCCAACCACTTATCAACCATAGGCAAGGCGTGACCAGCAAGCATACCAGTACAATCAAAACTAAGCGCTAAACCCACAAGGGTGTGCACAGCAGGATGGGCTAAAGATGCAATACGCGAAGATCAGAGACCAGCGAGGGCGAGGAGTATGCCAGAGTCGGTAAGGGTAGTTGTGAGAGCTGAAGGGACAAGCAAGATCAGTCTTAATAAAGCTGTTGCTGACAAAGCAAAGTGTCAGGTAGGGCTGGCAGAGGGAAGGACAAATTTAAGGGGTGTCAGAGCGGTGACTGCTAGAGGTAAATTCTGCGAGCTCGCTGGTAAACAGGGCAGTATTAGTACGTATATGAAAAACTGCAAACGGGACTTCACTATTCTCAGTGGCGCTAGACGCTTCTCCACGATACGCCCACGAGTTATAGTGTCCAATACGAAGGCGGGAGTAGTCTCCCAAACACAACTAAGACCAGAAGCCTAAACAAGGTTCGACAATACAGTACATGAATCTAATGTGCCATTGCCAACAGTTGCGAAATTGCCTCGAGAGTACGGTGTTAACTGTTTCAACAAATAACAGCATTAAGTACCGAGCTTGCTTGAAGGTTACTAGAAGGGGGTAGCACAGGTTGCAGAGATACGTCCGTAGACTAGGCCGTAGGTACAAGGTGGGCAGAGGAGAGTTTGGCCGATAGCCAGTCCTGGGAGGAGAGGTTGAGCCCGTGAGGGTAGGCCGTGGAGTGAGGCCGGATGGGCTCAGCGTCTGATCTGGGCAGGCCTAGAGGGGGCAGCACCACAGTGCCGCGAGATATGAATCTAGCAGACAGTACAGGCTGTCTACAACTGCAAGACTGACAAACCAGTATATGAAATGTCTGGAACAGCTGATCACGCAGCAAAGTGTCTGTTCGTTGCCTCGGAACATCCACATATCGGCGACCCCACCACAACACTGCTGTTTTACTATAAACTTGGCGCGGCCGAAGTTGAATACAAAGATCTAGGCATGCTAGAACAATTTCCCAAGTCTACATTCGTGATATGCAGTGTTACTTCTAATTGGTTTAAAGGTAGTTATCGTTAAAGGGGGAAAGGGAAACCAGTTAAAATTTTGACATTACTAAGCTGTTCATTCAGCGATTTTAAAGATTTCTTGCAAGATAAATTGACAACTTGCTGCTGCAGTTATCGGTTCTTAAAATTATCACAATGCAAGTAAAACTATTCAGTCTTCCTCACCCCTCCCCCACAGACACAGCAAACCTAAAACTAGACATCGGCCAGGAGCGATCAGATGTATACGGAAAAAAAAAAAACCGTTTACCGCCGAAACAGGTTGGGTTCTTAAGTCAGGTAAGCACTTAAAAGCACCCCTCCCCTCCCACCCAAGAGAACCCCGTTCTACCCCTGGGCACAAATTCTCCCGCTTTAAGATAAAGTCAGGAAAACTTCAGTCATACCTAAGCCAAGGAAACTAATTTCTTCGCTCAAGAGCCCCTGCCAACAGCTTCCCTCGAGGAGTGATGGATGGCTTTGATACCGTTTATTTTATAGTTGCTTGTCAATTATGCTTAGAAAAATTACTGACAGTAACCAGTTTCATCGCTAAACGAGTACGGTATGATAAGCTCATTTCCATGTACACTGAAATCAGAAAACCGAGATTCATGTAGATTAGAGATTCAACAGATGCTTTAGAAAGATTACAATATTGGACAATCTCTTAGCTCATTGCCTAACCATGACAACTTTCAACAATATTAATGCAATATGAAAGGAGCTCTTTCAGCTCTGCAGCGAATAGCAGAATATTCTGAAAGTAAACTAAATGCAATCAATCATTGTTCGAAAGTCCTATTATATTTACAAAGCTTTAGAACTTTTTGTGCTTCAAACATTCCATTTCTAACATTGATGCCAACACCGTTAGCTGCTTCTCTTTACACTTTCATAAATCACAGTAAAACATTCTGCAATACGTCACAAGATTATCTGCCAAGATATTTAGATTGAATTGTCCACCATTTATACCAAGAAACTTTTTAGGAAGGCACCCCCTGGAAAGAAATCATCAATTTTTAAAGGGGTGGAGCAGTAAACTAGTGCAAGGCTTTGTTAGGTTACCAAAAACTGCTAAAAGTAGTGGTATGACTTTGGACCCTCGTCAAGAAACAATTGTCACGTTTCTTTGAGATTTTTTTCCCAAGGGAGAGTGGTGCACCCAACTCCTAGGAACAAACTCTTCGTTTCTGTAACCTAACGGTATCACTAGTCCCTCTTCCCCCAGGAGTGAGGGGAGGATTAAATTAGTGTGCTCGACTACTACTATTAATGCCAATTCATTTTTCCCGTCAACGATAGTGGGAGGGACACGTCTTAGTCTCAAGATCCACTGATAGTGGTCATGCCCCCCCCCCCCAAACTGTCTTCACGCGTCTTCCAGTGCCCCTTTCACCCCTCCAAAACTTAGTGGTAGCTGTCATTCACTTCAAATGTACCTGGTATTATCTAAACCAAGCGCTAACTAAACCTAGTGTATCTGGTAACTTCAGTCCTTTAGTCAACATTGCTCCCCACCATTAGTTCCGCCCTGGTCTTTCAATGAAAGCATTCTTATCTTTCCTTCAGCCAGAGAATTTTCCTTTTGAAAGAATGGAAATGGAAAATTACCAAAAACATTTTCAAAGGTTAAAAAGCCAATTACAGAATATTCAAGGTATTCACCTGTGCTAATTTAAGCAAAGTTTGGAGTAAAAAAAAATTTTTTTCATTAAAATTTTATTTAAATATTAACGAAAGAATTTTCTGAAATCCAGTGTTCAGTCAGGACGACGTTTAATGTTTGCCAAATATCCTGGGGAAAAAAAATTTTTTTAGTAAAGACTAACAATTAGAGCAAAATACTGAATAATTTAATGTAACAGTATTATTATAATCAAAAAGAAGCGCTAAACCACATGGGGAAACTAGTTTCACACTAGGTATAGGTTAGATTCCAGTGGTACAAGTGTGGGGCTTTAAGCAGCATAAACTACGCTCAAATTCAGCGCTTAATAAAGCTCAAAAGAAAACTATCCAATTTCAAACCTATTTCTCAATTATAATGCAAGAATTTCAGTATCTTTCTTTAAAGTTATGAAAGATCGGCAGTCACAAAACTTCAGGGTAGCGGGGGAAGGGGGGGGTGGAGGGGGGGGACTATAAAGAGTGTAATCTGGGTTAATGTAACAGCCGCAACTTTAAGAAAGTTACTTTATGATCCATTAAGGAGTGGAACTTCCAAAAGCCGAAGTAGGTGAACCTATACAAAATCAGACTCCGTAGGTATTTACTTTAACGTGCTGGCTCGTATTTCACCAGGAATTTAAAGTTCTAAGCAAATTTTCAGTCCATCCTAATAAACATTTAAAACGGGTGCTAGGATTTCTAACCCGTATAATTAGTATCCAATGATCAGCTATTACTTACAATTAGACCTTAGCCATTAACACTGCCTAAGTACGTTCGTCCAGGACCACTTATGTGGTCCAAGGACATCCTCAGTTTAGTAGTCTGCAACTATGTAGTTTTGGCTACTTCAGGGTAGGTCCTTAAAGAGCTTTTATGGGAAGTAGTTTGATTATATTGTCCTAGCCACTATGCCAAATATTAGACATTGTCTGCATACAAGATATGGAAAGCCATTGGATAGTACTGTTAGCTTTAGTACATTCCCTGCTTTAATCTAGACTACTTACATTTATTGCTTTAAAATATTACTTTAGCTAGTTACATTACTACTAGGTTACTGCTTATTTTACTAGCATGTATTAGCAAGTGAACTTAACATTCCAGAAGTATTTTCAAACTTCCATCTACCTTGTCGGAAACTGCATGTGTAAACTGTCATTAATAAACATTACAAACTAAGAATTAACTTAACAAAAATACCCACCCGCAATGCCATTCCGGACAACACTTTCCTGGTTGAGTGCGTTTAACGCAAAATTTGAAAGGACGACGACGCAGAGAACACTTTATAACCGTCTTCTTGATACCTTCATTGGTACAAGTCATAGAAGTGCAGGGATCCAGGCTCCAAGTCTCGTGAAGACTACGGTGTTTACCTTTATCATCAGTACAACCACTGCAAGATATTGCATTAAACTTACCAACAGAATAGCGAACTAAATTTATAACTAAGACACTGTACCTATTGAAAATTTAACTATTGCACAAGCTACCAAAGTTAATTTGGTGAAAATACTTAAACTTCTAATGGTGTTAAATGTTGTTTACAAGCTTTGAGAGAAGTAGTGAGGTTGTCTGCTCGAAATGGAGAATATTTTTGTAATTAGAGTGGAGGGTTAAGATGAAGTTGAAGGCTGCTTTAGCATCAAAACATTGGAACAGCACAACCCGGTGGATTAATAAATCTGGGGAAGGAAGGTTATTTGAAGTAAAAGGAAAGTGGGAGGAAATAGGGGTTGATTGCTAGTGTTTTGGTCTGTCCTTAAGCCACTCAGATCTGCTAATTTTCTTTGTGGGGAAATAATACCAAAGAAACAGCTACAGCAATCTTAAATTTTAGGAAACTAAACTGCACCAAGTCTACGATGGCGGACTAAACTATGCAACATATCGCGCGCGTGTGCGTCCACAATACTAATTAGCATTATGGGCACTAAGGAATACAAATTCCTTCATCTTAAGCAGTATATTAAAGCACTGAATCCGTAGGTCATACATTTCATAAGACAAGACTTACTTCTATTTATTGGAAGACTTAAAATGTTATATTACTCGGCTTAAGTCACCAATTTTATCATTCAGAACTTTACCTGCAGTTCCATTTAGGGCAGCATCCACCAGGCGGAGTATAAGAGTAGCAGCCGGGGCGTGATGAGCAGCTTTCTCGCATTCCCTTTTGTTACTTTTTATTCCATGTGTGGTACACGTGTGGATGGAGCATTTGTCATCCCATTTACTTAACAGTTTATGGAATCTTCCAGCTACGTCTATGCATCCACTGAAATATTAAAGAGCATTAGGACCAATTTAATTCTCTGCAAAATATTCCAGAATACATTTAACTGGTTAAGTCCACCTCGTTTTATAGGCTAATACGTACCTGCAGTTCCAGGATGGACAGCATTCGCCTACTGGAATGTACATTGAACAGATTGGGTAAGGAGGAAGAGATTTTTCACACTGCTTTACCGTCCTTCGTATACCTTCAGATGTGCACACAAGGGTAGTGCACGGATCATCAGTGCTCCAGCGGCTGCCCAAGACATGGTAGGTACCATCCAGGTCCACACAGCCACTGAAATTTAAGATTTAGGTTATTCAGCAGACATGCTGAAAAACGAACAGCTAGTGTTCACAATCGGACATTACAATTTGTAATGACAGGCAGTGAACACAAGTAGAAGTTTGTAACTATTTGCAGTGGTGATATCAGTAGGAATACTTCAAGCAACAACTTATTGATAAACTGGACATTAAATTAAGAAGGGTACCTCAGAAGAGTATTTCTGAAGACGAGCAGAATGGAAACTTTCCTCCAAGTTAAAATGTTAAGACCTTTTATTTGCATTAAGTTTTGTTCTAGTCACACTTAATATTTGTTCTGTTGAAGTTTCCAGGAAGAAGCTGAGCGCAGAGTTAAAGTTCTTGATAAATTAACTGACAAATTTCAGCAATATTTTTTTTTTTTTTTTTTTTTTTTTTTTTTGTAGGTTGAGTAAATTAAGACAGTGGGCGGGTTTGTCTGGAATCGGTGATTATTCTAACATTTGACTTCTTTGGTAACTTCAGATCCACATGCCCATACCATTAGAGGTAGGGATAGATTAGCGACATACAGGGAAGCTATAATTACCTGCAGTTCCATTTGGGGCAACATGTTCTCACTGGTGTGTAAAGACTGCAATCCTCATGGGGTTTCGGTAACTGCCGACAGCTTTTCCGCATAACTTTCACACCATCTTCAGTACACACCGATGTGATACACGGACCAGTTGCCCACTCTCTTCCAATCTCATGGTGCTTTCCTTCTTCGTCGATACAGCCACTGTAAATTCAGTTAATTTATTTGTATAAATTTTAAAGTAAGTGAAAATTTTAAATCTAAAGTTATTCCACTGTACCTGCAGTTCCACTCGTAACAGCATGCCAGTGGCGGTCTATAGGGTGAGCAGTCTTCGCTAGGGGGTCCTCTGCACTTTACTAGACGACAGTCAGGACTGTTAGGGAAAAAACGGATTAGGGGTGAATAGGTTAGTAGTATTTGGTTAAGTACAGAAAAAGGTACTATCGTGGCTGGAACTACCCACACAAACTTGCAATGTTTCGGGTCAAGTGGGACAGACAGTTTAAAATATTCATAGTTATAGACTAATCCCTAGTTTGTTAGTTTAGCAATGAACTAGGCTTTCTTTTGCTAGGTATTTTGCTTTACGGAAATTTCAGCCAAGACGAGCAGAATCTTAAGAAAAATTATATACTTGCCCACACTTCCAAGTAGGACAACACTTGTTCCCGGCAGGAATCTCCTCGCAGTTACTATGAGGTGCATCAGGGCATTTCTGAACGATTTTCCGTATTCCAGCCCGTGTACACTTCAACGAGACGCAAGCACTTTCCTTCCATACACTGTTCAGTCTATGGTACTTCCCATCGTCGCCAAGACATGCACTGGGTAATTAGACCAGCATTCAAAAGCTTTATTAATTCAAACTATCAATTTGCTATAAAAGTTTAGGAAGGAGGTCAAAGAAGTAATCATTTTACACTGAAAACTTGGTTTCCATATTAAATAAATTTAACAAAATTAGTAGGGCGCTTTGATTATATTTAACATTTCATTCTTCGTTAATCTGCATGTACATGCAGTCCAATAAATCTTACGTCATATGGAGAAAAAAAAAAAAAGTTAAAAGGCGGCAGTATTTAGAAAGTTTGTTGAAAATAATTTATTCCTTTAATAAATTTCAAGTTAGAAAATTTTAGCAATTTATACTAAAAAGCAATTTTGAGGAAGTTTTCATAGGTATTAAGAAAGTTAAGATGCAAGAACTAAAATTAAGGCAGAAAAAAAAACAAGCTAATAGGATAATTTAGCTAATCCTATATGGCGGAGAAAATTTCAAGGAATAACTTTTGCTTAGACAAGTTATGCAAAACAACTTTTGCAAATGAAAGCAAAAAAATTAAGAAATACACAAGATAATCGTGTAAACTGATAATTACCCTTTATATGAAAACTAAGAAAAGGCAAATAAAAACTCAGGTTCTTAGCACTGTGAAGTTCCTAACCTGCAATTCCATTTAGGACAACACTCGCCCTCTGGTGTGTAACTTCTGCAACTGGGATGAGGTCTTTTCAGGGCAGAACAGTATTTCCGCGTAACATTAATACCAGTTTCCGTACATACAGAAGTGCTGCAAGGTTTGTTTGACCACTCGCTACCTATATTATGATGGTTGTTGAGCTCGTCAACACATCCTCTGTCAAGATATTGAAGTGGGTTTAATTTTTTTTTAAGTTATAAAACCAGTTAATTCAAATTATCACAGGTTTATCTTTTCTCTGTACCTGCACTCCCATTCGTCACAGCATGCCAGTGGTAGTTTATGTGGTCTGCAAAACATGTTGGGTGGCTCGGGACATTTAACAAGACTGCAGTCAGGTCTGAAATCACGTGAACCGAATGTGAGGACGAGTAACTGGTAATAGCGGTAATTAAGTAATTTTCAGAAATACATTTTAATCACGCTGGGGATAAATTTAACAAGCTTTTGTCTTAGTGGAGATTGATTTTTTAAAGGAAATTCATTTGTACTAAGATTGAAGTTTGTTTGGCCAACGTACGATTGTAAAAATCTAATTCTCTAACTAGTGCGCGATCTAACCAGTAACTGGCTGTCTAAGTTTATAGTAAGGCTGCAAGCAGAAAAATAGCTTTCACAAGTTTGCCAGAAAAATGAGGAACGTCTAACGCTTCAAGCTTACTCTAATTCATGTATTATAATCAAAAAGAAGCGCTAAGCCACAAGGGTCGTATTCATGTAGAAGTTAAGAAAGCGTATCGCTAAATTGAATTTAAGTTTTAAGGATTAATCTTTACATTAATTTCAGATTAGCACCTACGAAGAAAAAATCTCAGCCATTCATTAGGTAGCTTAAGAGGGTTTCTCGCAAATTCAAAATTTATTAAAACATCAAGTGGGATGGGTGGTGTTGCACGCTCCAATAATTTTCCTTTCATCAGGAATCTATACCAAGTTTTAAGCCGCTCAGAAATTGCATTATCAAGTTACAAGCGTTGAAGTGTGAAGCCAACTGGACGAGGCACTCAGACACCATGATCAAAATTACAATTTCCTCCCCAGTTTCTTGCATTTAAAGTAAATGCACATTGGGACGATATCAGATCAAAATCAAACCTTAAAATTTTGGAGCGTTTGAAGGTTACGTACAACTTTCATATGTATACGTGCTTATGTATGTGTATACGTATATTTATATTACACTAATGCATGCACTAAGTTCTACGAAAGCTATTAGTTAATATCCATTACATGTACAAGGTATACAGGCCTAGTTGACAATGATACTATATAGAAAGCATGTGCAGAAAATTTTGGACAAATTAGGTGAAGTTCGTCTCGGGATGCGACCCCACACTACTGTAGTAACCCAGATACCCACAGACCACCGGGGTAAGGAAACACTCCCAATGTATCTACCCTCGCCGGGAATTAACTCCGAACCTCGCCGTGATCTGGGGGCTTAACCGTTAGTTAATTTAACAGGCCAATAAACTGACCAGAAAGAATCTGCTTCATGGAAATTCAATTTAGTCCAGCGTTGTACTAATTACTGAAAGTAATCTTTCGTTCTCAGTTTTAAAGTTTGGTTTAGCCAAAGACTTGCCATGCTTCCCACTACCACTAAATATATTACACCTTATGTCAATAGTCACTGCTAAGCTTTTTTCCCCAGTATATTTACTCACCCACACTGCCAAGATGGGCAGCATCTTCCTTCACCAGGAACTTCTTGGCAGTTGCTGTGAGGTGGCTCAAGGCATTCCTCAATTTTTGTATGAATACCAGCCAGGGTACACTTATGGGTGACGCAGTCACTAGTCTGCCATTCGCTATCCATGTCGTGGTACACTCCAGCATTGTCGAGACAAGCACTGCAAAGTATTTTCACAGTTAGTTATTTTAAACTCTTAAAATTAGGTACTATTGCTTCTGACATCTGGCTGTATTTCCTGCTGCACGATTGTTTGAACTAAAAATCAGCCAAATTTTTAAATTTTAGTGTTCACTATTTGTATGATATTTTCGAGGAAAGCATTTAGTTAAATAAATTTGAACAATGAAACAACCACTGATATTCCAGTAGTACAGCTGAAATTTATCTTGGTACCAGTGCCCTAGCACTAGGAAATTTATAAAGTTTCCTTTTACAACGGAGAGAATTTTTAAATGTTCGTTAGGGAAAGCCTTTGACAGCTTTGGTAATTAAGTGCAAAGTTACACTAGGATATTTATTACGGCCTATGGCATGTTTTGTTTGACCAAACTGCCTTCAATGGTTTACGGAAAAAAACTGCCACAACACTTAAATTTTTTACCTGCAGTTCCATTTAGGACAGCACTCTCCCTCCGGGGTATAAGTAACGCAGCTGTGATGGGGTCTTGGTAATTTACTGCAGTACTGCCTCGTAACCTTTATGCCAATGTCTGTACACAGTGAAGTGCTGCAGGGGTCACTCTTCCACTGGCTGCCCAGCTCGTGGTACTCTTCCAGATCAACACATCCACTGAAAGTAAAGGAATTTAATATATTTAAATCTGCTTCTGTTACATCTAGCTAGCTTAAGAGACTACATTCAAAAGCTGTTGGTAGAATATTGGTAAATGCAGTATGTGGGAAACTGTTTACAGACAGGATATAAGGATTAAAGTTAACAGCATAACCAACCCATGTTGAGTTATTATGAAAAACCTTAATACCCACGAACTTCCAATCCTAAAGACAGAAGTCTTGCATGACAAGCGCTTCCAAGGCTAGACTTCATTTACCAAGGAAGAAAGCAAATGCATGTACACCTCTTAATCACATGACCCTCTATGCTTTTAAGGAGGGAGAGTCATGATTATGACCCTCTTAGAAGGAAACCAGTAAGAACTAAACACTGCAGGCCTACTGACCTAGTCGGGTCACATCTACTCAAGGAGCACTGAGTCAAACCTATTAGCATAAGCTAGTCAGGGCAAATTCACTCACCCCTACTCTTTTATCTAACATTTAAAATTTTAGCGTCCGAGTTTGTTCCACTCTTCCACAACTATTACCAAACCAGTTTTCCTATATTCTTCCTGAATCAATTTGTCCAACTTTAAACCATTTCTGAGAGTCCTGTCTGCTAGATTTTTATAGCATGCTATTTACATTCCCTTTATTCCAGTTTTCCATTTATACGCCTCATTCATCCCCTTTATTCTACGCCTTTCTAGATTGCATGTTAAGACCCTCAGTCCATCCTCGTAGGAAAGATTTGATACATGGGATCAACCGTGATTCTCCTTTATACATTTTCCTGTGTATTTTATCTATTTTGTAATACGAAGACCAGAATTCTGCAGTATAACCCAAACGAGGCGTAACCAAAGATTACACACACACACATATATACACATACACGTGTATATATATGTGTGTATATATGTGTATATATGTGTACATATGTATGTGTGTATGTATATGTGTGTGTGTATATATGTGTGTGTGTGTGTGTGTGTATATGTGTATATTTATCATATACACATGTACATTATATATATATATATATATATATATATTACACATATATAATATATATATATATATATATATATATATATATATATGTTGGTAGACAGCAACCACCCAGGGAAGTACTACCGTCCTGCCAGATGACAAACAAACCTGTAACTGTTTTGCATGTTGGTAGGATTGCTGGTTTCTTTTTCTGTCTCAAACGCTAGATAACAGGGATATCTTGCTACTCCTACTTGCACTTTGGTCACACTTCATAGACACGCACACATATATACATACATCTAGGTTTTTCTCCTTTTCCTAAATAGCTCTTTTTCTTCTTTATTTCTTCTAGTGTCCATGGGGAAGTGGAAAATCTTTCCTCCGTATGCCATGCGTGTCGTATGAGGAGACTAAAATGCCGGGAGCAATGGGCTAGTAACCCCTTCTCCTGAAGGGAAACTTTAGGAAACTGGGATGCTTAAATGTGCTTGGATGTAGTGCGGATGACAAGAAACAGATGATTGCTGATGTTATTAATGAAAAGTTGGATGTCCTGGCCCTAAGCGAAACAAAGCTGAAAGGGGTAGGAGAGTTTCAGTGGGGGGAAATAAATAGGATTAAATCTGGAGTATTAGAGTTAGAGCAAAGGAAGGGGTAGCAGTAATGTTAAATGATCAGTTATGGAAGGAGAAGAGAGAATATGAATGTGTAAATTCAAGAATTATGTGGATTAAAGTAAAGGTTGGATGCGAGAAGTGGGTCATAATAAGCGTGTATGCACCTGGAGAAGAGGAATGCAGAAGAGACTCTGGGAGATGTTAAGTGAATGTATAGGAGCCTTTGAACCAAGTGAGAGTAATTGTGGTAGGGGACCTGAATGCTAAAGTAGGAGAAACTTTTAGAGAGGGTGTGGTAGGTAAGTTTGGGGTGCCAGGTGTAAATGATAATGGGAGCCCTTTGATTGAACTTTGTATAGAAAGGGGTTTAGTTATAGGTAATACATATTTTAAGAAAAAAGAGGATAAATAAGTATACAAGATATGATGTAGGGCGAAATGACAGTAGTTTGTTGGACTATGTATTGGTAGATAAAAGACTGTTGAGTAGACTTCAGGATGTACATGTTTATAGAGGGGCCACATATCAGATCACTTTCTAGTTGTAGCTACACAGTAGAAGGTAGATGGGATACAAGGAGAATAGAAGCATCAGGGAAGAGAGGTGAAGGTTTATAAACTAAAAGAGGAGGCAGTTAGGGTAAGATAAACAGCTATTGGAGGATAGATGGGCTAATGAGAGCATAGGCAATGGGGTCGAAGAGGTATGGGGTAGGTTTAAAAATGTAGTGTTAGAGTGTTCAGCAGAAGTTCGTGGTTACAGGAAAGTGGGTGCAGGAGGGAAGAGGAGCGATTGGTGGAATGATGTAAAGAGAGTAGTAAGGGAGAAAAAGTTAGCATATGAGAAGTTTTTACAAAGTAGAAGTGATGCAAGGAGGGAAGAGTATATGGAGAAAAAGAGGTTAAGAGAGTGGTGAAGCAATGTAAAAAGAGCAAATGAGAGAGTGGGCGAGACGTTATCAACAAATTTTGTTGAAAATAAGAAAGTTTTGGAGTGAGATTAACAAGTTAAGAAAGCCTAGAGAACAAATGGATTTGTCAGTTAAAAATAGGAGAGGAGAGTTATTAAATGGAGAGTTAGAGGTATTGGGAAGATGGAGGGAATATTTTGAGGAATTTTTAAATGTTGATGAAGATAGGGAAGCTGTGATTTCGTGTATAGGGCAAGGAATAACATCTTGTAGGAGTGAGGAAGAGCCAGTTGTGAGTGTGGGGGAAGTTCGTGAAGCAGTAGGTAAAAATGAAAGGGGGTAAGGCAGCCGGGATTGATGGGATAAAGATAGAAGTGTTAAAAGCAGGTGGGGATATAGTTTTGGAGTGGTTGGTGCAATTATTTAATAAATGTATGGAAGAGGGTAAGGTACCTAGGGATTGGCAGAGCATGCATAGTTCCTTTGTATAAAGGCAAAGGGGATAAAAGAGTGCAAAAATTATAGGGGATAAGTCTGTTGAGTATACCTGGTAAAGTGTATGGTAGAGTTATAATTGAAAGAATTAAGAGTAAGACGGAGAATAGGATAGCAGATGAACAAGGAGGCTTTAGGAAAGGTAGGGGGTGTGTGTGGACCAGGTGTTTACAGTGAAACATAAGTGAACAGTATTTAGATAAGGCTAAAGAGGTCTTTGTGGCATTTATGGATTTGGAAAAGGCGTATGACAGGGTAGATAGGGGGGCAATGTGGCAGATGTTGCAAGTGTATGGTGTAAGAGGTAGGTTACTGAAAGCAGTGAAGAGTTTTAACGAGGATAGTGAGGCTCAAGTTAGAGTATGTAGGAAAGAGGGAAATTTTTTCCCAGTAAAAGTAGGCCTTAGACAAGGATGTGTGATGTCACCGTGGTTTAATATATTTATAGATGGGGTTGTAAGAGAAGTAAATGCGAGGGTCTTGGCAAGAGGCGTGGAGTTAAAAGAAAGAATCACACAAAGTGGGAGTTGTCACAGCTGCTCTTTGCTGATGACACTGCTCTTGGGAGATTCTGAAGAGAAGTTGCAGAGATTGGTAGATGAATTTGGTAGGGTGTGCAAAAGAAAATTAAACGTGAATACAGGAAAGAGTAAGGTTATGAGGATAAAAAGATTAGGTGATGAAAGATTGGATATCAAATTGGAGGGAGAGAGTATGGAGGAGGTGAACGTATTCAGATATTTGGGAGTAGACGTGTCAGCGGATGGGTCTATGAAAGATGAGGTGACTCAGAATTTATGAGGGAAAAAGAGTGAGTGGTGCACTTAGGAGTCTGGAGACAAAGAACTTTGTCCTTGGAGGCAAAGAGGGGAATGTATGAGTATAGTTTTACCAACGCTCTTATATGGGTGTGAAGCGTGGGTGATGAATGTTGCAGCGAGGAGAAGGCTGGAGGCAGTGGAGATGTCATGTCTGAGGGCAATGTGTGGTGTGAATATAATGCAGAGAATTCGTAGTTTGGAAGTTAGGAGGAGGTGCGGGATTACCAAACTGTTGTCCAGAGGGCTGAGGAAGGGTTGTTGAGGTGGTTCGGACATGTAGAGAGAATGGAGCGAAACAGAACGACTTCAAGAGTGTATCAGTCTGTAGTGGAAGGAAGGCGGGGTAGGGGTCGGCCTAGGAAAGGTTGAAGGGAGGGGGGTAAAGGAGGTTTTGTGTGCGAGGGGCTTGGACTTCCAGCAGGCATGCGTGAGCGTGTTTGATAGGAGTGAATGGAGAAATGGTTTTTAATACTTGACGTGCTGTTGGAGTGTGAGCAAAGTAACATTTATGAAGGGATTCAGGGAAACCGGCAGGCCGGACTTGAGTCCTGGAGATGGGAAGTACAGTGCCTGCACTCTGAAGGAGGGGTGTTAATGTTGCAGTTTAAAAACTAGTGTAAAGCACCCTTCTGGCAAGACAGTGATGGAGTGAATGATGGTGAAAGTTTCTTTTTCGGGCCACCCTGCCTTGGTGGGAATCGGCCAGTGTGATAATAAATAAAAAAAAATACACACACATATATATATGTATACATGTACACATACACACATACACACACATACACACACACATACACACATACATACACATACACACACATATATACACGTATATATTACATATATATACATTATATATATATACATATATACACATACATATACACATCACTTGAGGACTTTCTTCTTTAATTTTTATACAAAGCCAACGATTCTATTAGCTTTATTGCTAACACTTCTGCACTGTTTTGGTTTTAGATTACTGGCAACCAGAACTTAATTCTTTTCGCAATCAGTAATATTAAGATCTACAGTTATGTGGCATGACTATTTTGTCCAATGTTTAGAGCGAGGTCTAGCTCAGAGGTTCTAGTCATTAAATTGTCTGGCGAGGTCAGGTATTGAGAACATGAGGGGGGGGGGGGGTGAAGGTGGCAAGTACTTTATGCAGCCTAGCCTTGGGTGAAAAAATTAAAGCATCATCCTTTACCATTTTCCACTTGTCAGCTTTAACTATCGTCTCTTCCAAAGTTCTTTAACAGTTACTATCTTTAAAACTACGTTCAACATACCGTAGCTACAAAAAAAAAAAAACCTGACGAAGCTAGCACAAGACTGCAAGCAGCCTTCAAGACTGCCAGGGAAACATTAGCAGGATTGGTCGATTTAGTATTAGCTCGAGGGTAAATAAAATAGCACAAGTTAAACACTGCAGTTTAACTTTTGGAAACCGGAGGAGATTTTTTTTATGAATGGTGACTAAGAGCATGAAGCAAGAATAAATCTTCCCTACACCTTTCTGAACCTACACTTAAGACTTGCTGCTCTGAGCTTAGCAACTTGGCAGGCACCTCGAGTCCGTACCTGACCAGAGGGGCGGAGATTCATGCGTCTGTGCGCGCGGTAGTCCATTTTGGAAGCTAAAATTCTAAATTTCAGGAAACTGGTAGAAAAATTAAGCAGATTTTGGAAAATTCAAAACCGTGAAGTCTACAATCTTAGCACAAGTACAGTACACCCGATAGTTTAGGTACAGATTTAAAGGAAAATTTCCTCGTACCTGCACGTCCACTCGTCACAGCATGCCAACGGTGGTCTGTGGGATGTACAGTCGCTGCTGGGCGCGCCTGCACATTGTACATTACTGCAGTCGGCTCTGAAATAAAGAAAGTTATTTTGCCGGTTTGATTTAACAGTGAATTTTAAAGTACAAAAGAGTAAATGCATTTCAAAATTTGACTTCAGTTTTAAATACAACAGCGTAAAATATCCTAACAGCTTTCTAGACAACTAAAATTTACCGACTCTAGAAACCTAAACACTATTGCAAACAAATCATACCATGGGTGGGGGTTTGAACCCGCGATCAGTCAAAACTCCAGATCGTCGAGTTAGCCACTGGCTAATGCGACGGTCTGGAGTTATAAAACTGATCGTGGGTTCAAACCCTACCCGTGGTATGGTTTGTTTAAAACAGTGTTCCACCCCGAGGTCCCATAAAACTTTAGTCCTGACATTAAAAGGAGCACTCGCCACCAACTTTCCTAAAGCCTTTGTTACGATAATTACCCTCTTCCATTGGAAACTACGAAGTTGCTCCACAATTAACTTTCAAAACCTTGGCTCAAATATGAAACACTAACGCAAAGTTAATTAGCACTTTAGGTTCCTGAAAGGAACCTAGTAATTAAGCATAGATGGCAAAGTTGCCAAGCAGATTTAATTTTTCCATATTTATACAGGTCCACAAAACTTTCATGCTACAGCGTTTAATACGGGAATAGGTACTTCAGTTATTTAATATAATTAAATTCCTAGTCTAATTATCCTTCCGCTAACACCAGCGCTACTACAGGCTTACGGCAACACTTAATAGAAGAAAGGAGGAACACCGCAGCAGGCCTACTGGTCCACACTGGGCAGGTCTATCAAAATCGAGCCTTTAGTCACAAGTATTGTCGCCATGCCTAAAAAATCTTTTCAGACCTTACGTAAGGGTTCAATACTCTTAAAGTAGCGTCAGTCATTAAAAGTTTAAAACATTTCAGGTGAAATTGCAATTTCATAGGTGTAGCATTCTAGAAATAAGTGGCACAAACTAAATCTCCACCTTTCGTAGCAGTAAAAGGTGAAAATTTCAAACTATCAGAAATTGGAAGTGTCCAATACTACCAGAGGAGACTTCACTTTCCAGTAGTTACACTGTCTCAAGTCAGGACATTTAAATTTCTAGCTAATCTGATGAAAAATGGCAAGTCAATAAATTTAGTAAAAATTCAGCCCAATCTAGTTTGGGATTCTCCATACCCAACTAGTTCTTAGAACAAAAACCTACCTGGGCTAAAAGTTTTAGCCATAATTTTTATAAACTTCATTCCCAGATACATACCCACATCGCCAAGACTGACAACACTGTCCTTCATTTGGAACTACTTCACAGTTGCTGTGAGGCTGATCAGAACATTTCTCCACCCTGGTGTGTATGCCAGCCCGGGTACACTGGTGCCTGATGCAAGGAGTTTCTTGCCATACGCTGTACAAGTCATGGTACTCTCCATTATCGTCAAGACATGCACTGAGGAAAAAAATGTAAAGTTCTAAACAGTGTTAACTCTTCCCTCGACATGAGAAAGTAAGGCTTATCACGAAACTCCACTGACTCGTTCCTTTATTAACCATTAGGCTGAGCTAGTTCGTGAACCTCGGTAAATCAAGAATCGGTAAGTTGTCCATAAGATGGATAATAAGCAATCTCTTCCCCTCATCCACAGTACATTAAATTAAAAGAACGGGAGGAGACTTGAAAGTCAGCATCATAACCAAAATCTCGTGTAGTGGGTCACAAACGCCACGTCAGGAAACCAATTGGCCAGGTTGCTGATGTTTTTTCCCCCCCACTTTCCCGGTTAAATATCTTTCTAGCAGCCTTAATGCTGCACCCGAGGATTAATCTTCCTAGAATCCAGGAGAGACCAAATAAGTATTTGAAGCTAAACTGATTTCAGATAAAGTTTTAGTTGCGCTTTAAAGAGCTTACCAACAAAAGCTAGGATGTTGTCTTGCGCAGGTAAGACAAAATTTCTTATAAATAGACCGTAAATTCTGATATTTCAAATTAGGACCGACTGTGCAAGACTATTAATACGACAGGGTAGAAGTAACTAGTCTACGGTGATGAAAAATCTAATCAGTCTCTTAAGACATTTAAAGGCTGCATTTTGAGTGAAATTGGAAATTCACTATTAAAGTTAAATCAAAAGGAAAACCAAGTTTCCCTAAAATAGCGTTTAAAGACTTTCAAAATCTAGGGCCAAACAAATTAAGGGGCACTTTAAAACAAACAGGGTGCTAGATGAAGTCTTTAAATACAGACTTAAGGTTAATGATTATGGCAAAAACGTGCTATTTCCTCGGGAAATAGGAAACTTAAATCTCACCTGCATTCCCATCTGGGACAACACTCTCCCTCAGGGACATAACTACGGCAGCTGTGATGGGGCTTCGGTAATGTAGGGCAGTATTTGAGAGTAACTTTAACGCCAGAAGGAGTACATTCTGAAGTGTTGCAAGAGTCGCTTGACCACTTGCTGCCCACCTCACGATGGTTGCCAAGTTCATCAACACATCCTCTGAAAGTTTTAATTAAAAATGTCGAGAGATTTCAATGTTTCATTTAAGTAATTTAACCTGTGATTGTATTGGCAAACACTAAAAGGTTAAATTTTCCTGGCAAGTAAATTACAATATCAGTGGTATCACTAGGATGGCAAGTCCTCCTGAGGAGTTTCCTAGAATGGCACTTTTCTAATCCTTAGCTTATTAATTTGTTAATTTTTACTTTAAAAACTAGGTATTACTAAACATGGGGAAACTAAACCCATGTGGATAATGCGCCGGGGAAAGGGGGTTGATGGCATTAAAGTTTTATTCAATGAATTTTTAAAAAAATCACAGAAATTAGGCCGAAGTATCTGGCTAGTGAAAAAATTACTTAACGATAGCTATGTTTTTCAGCAAAGTAGGAAATGTGCGTTAGTAGATGTATTTAAGTAAGTTTTTCTCCCATTTAGCAGTTTTTCACATTTCGTATATAAGCTTTCAAGTTCTGAGAACTAATTTAGTTGAACAATCTAGGTCAAAAGGGGGGCTAGAATAGCTTCATACTTTAAAGTATGAGCTAATGACTTTGAACATTTCAAATTAGTCTACTTGACATGAGCCACCACTTGCCAAGTACTCTGATTACAGGAGCAGCCACACTAATCTGCCTTTTTCCCCACTCTGTACGTTGCTTTTGCTGACGTTAAGGAAAACTAGACTGGTGGCAAAGACCAGCACGTTATAACAAGCCATCAGTGAATCCCACATGTTTAACACGTTGCCGGGTAGTGTTAGCAAATTAAACTAGGCTCTAAGTATGCATAAAATATTTTATTCAAGGGAGTGACTACGCTTGTGAAGAGCTCTAAGGAATTTTGATTATCAAAATTTACGGCATCATTCAATTGGTAAGAAATTATAATCAAAACTTTCCTCTAAATAATTTTCCATGCTCTGCCGCCATATTTATATCAGTTTTGAACTTTACTTGGGTAACGAGCGTGTGAAAAAAAGAGTAAGGGGCAAACTTTTTTCAATACGACTAATTTTAGAAAAATTGTACCTGCAGTTCCACTCGTCACAACATGCTAGTGGTCGTGTAACTGGTGTACACCACTCGTTGGGTGGACCGGCACACTTTACAAACCTACAATCAGGCCTGTAAAAGAATTAGATACGAGAACTATTAGTTCTATGGCTACATGCTATATATACTAGTCATATCCCCGATAACTTAAGTCATTAGCTTAAATTTAAGCTCAAGTTTCACATTCTCACTCCTAAACGTATACTGTAAAGACATTCTTCAGTTCCATAAGTTTTGTTACATTAAACTAAACTGCGCCACAAATAATTTGTACTCCAGGCAGACTCCTGGACGCAAGTCTCTGCTAACCAATTTTAGTCTTAACCATGATTAAGGCATGTTAAGTGAGCAAAGCGCCTTCCCCATAGTTTAAAAATTTTCGTAGTACACAAGGAAAACAATTGGACCACATCCTGCCTGTCACCGAGGTTCAAGAAATCGATTTTGGGCAGTTTGTCTATATACAATACCATAAATGTTTCTTCTATAGTTTAAACTAATACATACCCACACTGCCAAGATGGACAACAGCTTCCTTCAACAGAAACGTTTTCACAGTTGCTATGAGGTTTATCAATGCATTTCTCAACCTGCGTACGTATACCAGCCCAGGTACACGTATGAGTGATGCAAGGAGACACTTTCCACACACTGTTCAGGTCATGGTACTCTCCAGCATCGTCGAGACATGCACTTAAAAAGCAATTTCTCAGTATTAAGTATCCTAGGCATTTTTTTCAGAGTAGAGAATTTTGCAATTAAGGCGCAGTTATACATTCTGATCTTAAATAACACTGGGTTATTGAAGGAAAGTAGCTGACGAGGGAAGCATACATGAAGATTCAAGACATTCTGAAGGTCGGAAAATAAATAGGAAATAACTGGTCATTGAGTCAGCAGTCAATGGGACGAAAAATTGAAATTTTAAAACGGTAATCTCAAACATTGGGCACTTCCATCACTTACCGCCCAACGTAAATTTAGCACATTTTACCAATTACAGGAGAGTCTGCACTTCCTGCAAATAAGTACACTGAAAGGTCAGTTACGTGGACTAGTTACAGATTTGAAGGAACATTTTAAATAAAATTCTAGAGGGTACATCAGGCCCGCCACTACCAATAGGTTTAAGTTACTGCAACAGTAACGTAAACCATGAGTACGTAAACGAAGATAGACTAAGGCCTTTTAATGAAACTTTAAAAGAGTAGAGTACTTTTCTACCTCAAGTGACCACTTTAAAACTTTCTAGAATGCATTATTTTCAAAAGGAACTTTTGAACCAAAGTTTCCAGCAAGTCACCTGCAGTTCCACCTGGAGCAGCACTCTCCCTCCGGGGTATAAGTAACGCAGCTGTGATGGGGTTTTTGCACTGGGAGGCAGTATTTCCGTGCAACCTGAATACCAGCCTCTGTACACTCAGAGGTGCTACAAGGGTCGTCTGACCACTTTGTCCCTACTTCATGCTGGTTACCATCTTCATCAAAACAACCTCTGCAAGAACAATTTTTAATTCGCCAAGATAAATTTCTATGAATTTAAGATACTTTCAACTAGAAAAATCACCAAAAATCAAGGTTCAAGTGTTGCCTAAGTCACCAGTTTTCTAGACCATTTAGTCTAAAACATTTACCTGCACTTCCACTCGTCACAGCATGCCAAAGGTGGTCTGTATGGGTCACACCACTTGTTGGGCGCACTTGGGCACTTTACAAGACTGCAGTCAGGCCTGAAATGCATTACTTGCTATAGGAAGCCTACTGACCGTTAAGTATCTGATTATACTCGGTTGCTTGACTGATCTCCAATAATTCTAAAAGTTTTTTTTTTTTTTTTAATGAAAGTTAAGAGCATTTCCATTGGGTAACCACATGGACGAGTCTGACAAAAGTTTAACCAGTACCCAAGGTATTAAAAACCATGCCCTAGTTAAAGATTAAAGTCGTGGGGAGCAGTTAAAATATTTTTCTGCTCGAGGCTAGGCAGAACCTGCCAGCACAGGGCCTACAGAAGAGGTACATGGGAAAGACTTTCAATGTACAGGGAACAAAGTGGCAGTTCTTTTAGCAGGGAAATGTGGGAGAGGCAACTCCATTTACCTTTTACAACTTTGCTGCCCTCTCCTCCAAGCACGTACGTAGCCCACAAAATTACGAAGTTTCTGGAGCAAGTTTGAAATTTTTTTCGTATTTGCTTATTTTCCCTCAACCCAAATCCTGCCACCAACTGAGGTAATTTTACAGCTTCATTACCACTAATAGTTTGGAAATTTTCTTGCTAAGCCATTAAAGTTAAAACTATTTACATCACAAAACTTATAGATTCGAACACTAGCTTTCACTTTCGATAGACCCTCTCGCAATTCCAATTTAGAACAGTTTCGGCCCGGCCGGGATTGTCTCAGACGTTTTGAAGTCAAACCTGTATCGACAATACTCACCCACATCGCCAAGATGGGCAACAACTTCCTTCATCAGAAGCATCTTCACAGTTGCCGTGAGGTGGATCAAGGCATTTTTCGACTTCAGTGTATATGCCAGCCCGGGTACACTTGTGGGTGACGCAGTTACTCGTTTGCCACATACTGTTTAGGTCATGGTACTCTCCAGTATCGTCAAGACAGGCGCTAGAGAACAGCATTTAAAATTATTATTTATTATAATCAAGGGGGAAGCGCTAAACCCGGAGGATTATACAGCGCCTGGGGGGGGGATGTGGAAGGCATTCAGGCTTAATTCGGGGAACTGGAGCACAGATCCAATTCCCTAAATCAAGAGCCCCTCACCAACATCAAGGAACCTTCCTTGAGGGGACAGCATTTAAAAGCTTTGAATATTTTACTAAAAAATATTTGGAAAAAACTGGGAAGGAAAAATGGGAAGGCTTTTGCATGTCTTAACTTAGAGGGCACGAGAAAAATGCCAATTCTGATTTAAATACTTTGGATTAAAATGTCAAGCTATTTCTATCGAGCCATTCAGCACTTTACGGAACAAACCAGATACTACTTTCACAAGCTGAACATTAGATTCTTAGAAATTATAAAGATTTAAAGAAAAACTCTAAACTATCACTTTAGACCGCCTGCAATCCCTTTACAAGATACTAGCTCCATTTGGCCGTTTACATCCAAGCTAGCCTGTTCAAATTTAGTCTGCTACTGCCGTTAATTATATAAAAAATCTTAAAACATTTTCAGTAGTTCACTAACTCGCGTTGTATCAGTTGCCACGAGCATTTAGATTAAGGGGGGATTTCCCCCCCCCCTGCTCCTGGGTTCAGGCAAGCACCTTCAATAGGAGCACAAGTCCGAGAAGGTCTACCCTAGGCATCTATCGAAATGTGACCCAGCATGGTGAGGAAACAGTAAGGAAATTGGTAGAGACCCTGTAAATTGTCCAAGAAACGGTTAGCGTGTCTTATCTTCAGGTACAAAAAAGTAACCGCTACTCATTTTCTGATCTGATAGGCCTACTAAGTGTTCTCTTACGAAAGGTCAGATTCATGTGGGCCACAAGTTAGAGACATGCTTAGTGCTTTCTTTGTAGAAGCCTCCACCTCTACCTGGCCATTAAAAGGAATAGTGAAAGTTCTTGACTGACCACTACTTACTGAAGGGCAAACCAATGGATTACAAGAATGCATGGATTATAAGCTTAACTGGACACCCCTCCCCTCCCCTCCCCTCTCCCACACCCACACCCACACCCACACCCAACTGCTGCAGCATACGGGCGCCTGGCAAACCTACGGATAGCGTTCCGATACCTCAGTAAGGATTCGTTAAGAGACTATACCATTAACGTCAGGCCCATACTGGAGTATGCAGCACCAGTTTGGAATCCACACCTAGTCAAGCAAGTCAAGAAATTAGAGAAAGTGCAAAGGTTTGCAACAAGACTAGTCCCAGAGCTACGGGGATTGTCCTACGAAGAAAGGTTGAGGGAAATCGGCCTGACGACACTGGAGGACAGGAGGGTCAGGGGAGACATGATAACGACATAAAATACTGCGCGGAATAGACAAGGTGGACAAAGACGGGATGTTCCAGAGAAGGGACACAGACAAGAGGTCACAATTGGAAGTTGAAGACTCGGATGACTCAAAGGGATGTTAGGAAGTATTTCTTCAGTCATAGTAGTCAGGCCGTGGAATAGCCTGGAGGGTGACGTAGTGGAGGCGGGAACCATACATAGTTTTAAGGCGAGGTATGATAAAGCTCATGGGGCAGGGAGAGAGGACCTAGTAGCAATCAGCGAAGAGGCGGGGCCAGGAGCTGTGACTACCCCTGCAACCACAAATAGGCGAGTACGTACACACACGTGTACACACGTGTACACACGTGTACACACGTGTACACACGTGTACACACGTGTACACACGTGTACACACGAAACTGACAGCAAATAGTTTCCTAAAATTACCGTTCATTACTAAAGGGGTTTGTTAACACTAAACACTAATTTGAGGCAATGTTAAACTAAGAATTAATTTCAGTAAAATTAAGACTGAAGGAAAAATTTTCAAGAACTCTTAAGGAGCTTTAAGAAACTACAGTTGAAGGGAAATTAGTCTACAGTTTATTACTGGGTTGAATTTCTCACCTGCAGTTCCATCTAGGACAACACTCGCCCTCCGGGGTGTGTGTATTGCAGCTGTGATGGGGTCTCTGCGTTATGGGGCAGTAGTTCCTACTAATCTTAATTCCAGACTCTGTACATCGTGAGGTGCTGCATGGGTCATTTGTCCACTCTTCCCCTACATCATACCGGTTTCCCAGCTCATCTTCACAACCTCTGCAAGTTAAGGGTTATTATCTACCTTAAATATACAAGAATTTTCTTTAACGGGCGAGAGGGAAGACAACTTGCCTGCAGTTCCACTCGTCACAGCATGCCAGTGGTGGTCTGTACGGTGTACACCACTTGCTGGGTCGACTTGCACACTGCACTTTACTGCAGTCAGGTCTGGAATGAAAATTTTCAATTTTTATTGTGCACTGAACATTAATTACTTTCATATATACTAGTAACTGAGCAAGCTACAATCTGTCTAGGGAATTAGATTTAAAATTACCTCAAGAAGCCTTATGACAAAGTAATATACAAGATAGTATAATTTACTTAACTGAAGCTTCAGAATTTCAGTTTACCAATAAATTTTCAGAGGGTTCAACTCCGAAGTCTCCCAGCTATTAGGTGGGCTCGTACTTAAAATCAGACCAGAAGCCTAGTGAAATTATGAAGCACAATTTTATGTTAAGCTATACAAACTATTCCTTACAGCTATCTTTGCTTGCCAAGAATACGAATCTTATCTGCTGTTGTGACTAATACAATTCTCACTGTGGAAATCAGACCCATACTGAATACGTGCAAATCAAATTTTAAGTTAATAAAACTTTCCAACTACTCTGGCTGAAAGTCTAATCTCAACCCCACCATTATTTAAGGCAAACCAGCAATCTGAATAGCTATTGGAGGATGTGGGGGGGGGGGGGGGAAGCAGGAATTCTGCTAACAGGCAAACTATATAAACGATTTGCAGTCATTACGACTGCAAGTTTAAACCCTTCAATTTCCAACGCCTAAAACTTTCGTGACGCATTCACTACCGGTATACCAAGAAAATTTTGCATTCCCACCGTTTATCTGAAGTCAATTTTTCGACTAAAATGCCCACCTTTCGTCGAAGGAAGAGTTCTTAAATGAAAAGAACTAGAGTGGAACTTGTCCCAGGAAAGGTTCCTACACAGGAACAGGTACCTCACTTCTGCATTAAAGGTTATTCACTTTATAAACCTTTAGTTTCGCCGCAAACTTAGTCTTCATGTTAAAAACCATCCACTATCTTGCTTTCAAGGTAACGAAAGTTAGAAGTTTAGTTGCAAAAACTAAAACCTAACCCTTATACTCACCCACATCTCCAAGATGGACAACATTTTCCTTCAGAAAACTTTTCACAGTTAGAATGAGGCGGGTCAAGGCATTTCTGTGTAATGGAGAGTATGCCAGCTCTGGTACACTTGTGCGAGACGCAGGGGCTGGTATGCCACACGCTGTTCAGCTCGTGATGTACGCCATCCTCAGTAATACATGTACTGGAACAAATTCACTTTCCAAAATAGTTGCAACACTTAGCAATGGAATATGGTTATCTGGAGGGATAAACTTAGGTATTACACAGATTGGGGGGGGGGGGCAGCCGAATGGAAGGCATTCACTCCTAATTCAGGGAATTTCAGCATAAATCTAGTTTTCTTTATCAAGAACTTACCAACATCAAGCAACTCGCCTTGAGGGTCTACACAAGAAAAAAAAAAAGTTGAATGTTTAATTAATGTGGAAAATACTGTATATATTTTCCAGAAATACAGTAGTTATATGTAAATAGATGGCCATACTGTATTTAATAATTGTCAAAAAAAAAAATGGGAAATTTTGTACCTGCGTGGAAGGACAGTGGCCATTTTGTTTGAATTTGGATTAGAAACGTTGTAATGGTTAGAATTTTTCGTGCTCTCGAGGTTAAAATTGGGTTGACACCTCAAATAGACTACATTGTTGGATGTGCATTCCTGCATAACTTTATATATCAGGCGACTGGACAAGACAGCTCCAGGAACCTGAGATAAGTGTTATGTTATAACTCTGGCCAGTTATTTTCATGTATAGACCGAGGTTTTCCGAGTATGTTAGAACTTATCTCTAGTCAAATTGGAGAGTGTTAAGATTAAGATGTATTCTCCTTCTGTTATATAAATGTGTACATGTACTATAATCTTTTTAATTTTAATACACAGTCCACAAATTTATATATTTACCAGCATTCCTGGTAATGTGTATTTCATTTAATAGGTCTAGAGCAACTTGTGGATATGACATTGGTAGGTATCGAAGGGGGGACACTTTTGCGACCTAGGTGTCACAAATTCCTACTTGTCTAACTGATAAATAATTATCAATGTTCATTTACTGTTATGTATATAATGATACATTCAGATAAATGCAATTTTCCATATTTAATCTTCCAGAAGATAGGAAGTTTGATTGTTACTGTCACTAGCTCTCGGCAATTAAAGAAATTTTAAATGAAAGTATATTAACTAGTTAAAACAGCCAGGAAAAGTTAAAATATTTTACGTCTAAGCACTAAAGAGCTTAAATTTTGCAACAATGCCAGGTAATGTGTAAGCAAGTCCCCCACACACTTTGAACATTTACAAAATTAGCCATTTGGTATCTCACGAGTTTGCAATGACTAGGTTTAGGTCAGCATGTGGTACTGCAGCACATGTGCACCAAGTTTAAGGAACTGAAATTTTATGTCAACTGTTTATACGTTAACATGCTTGCTATTAAAAGTTACTTCAGCAAGATTAGAATACACCAATTATAAGGGTATTGAGAGTACTGTAATAAATACCTGCAGTTCCACTTTGGACAACAATCTCCACTGTGTACAAATGATGTGCAGCTGGGATGAGGTGGCTGGGGCAGCCGAGGGCAGTGTACATGCACTGTCTTGACACCAGTGTGTGTACAAGTGGATGTTAAGCATGGGTCTTCAGTCTTCCACACACTGCCTTGTGCATGATAAATGCCATCAACGAAGCAGCCACTGCAAAAATTAGATTAAATTAATTGCCTCTGAAATCTTAGAAGAGTAAGCCAAAAGTGTAGAGAAAAAGCACACCATGGGCGGGTTAGAACCCGGGATCAGTCAAAATTATCTGATCATGGGTTCTAACCCCATCCGTAATTTGTTTGCAATCTTATTGTTTCGAGTAGTGACTAGAACATGTTAGCATTGAAAGGGTATCTACAAAGAGCAAGTTTCTGATTAATACCAACCCTAGTTAAATACCTTCTTCCAGGCATTTAGGACATTTTCCACTTAACCGCAACGCAAGTAACACTGCCCAGGAGTATGAGCAAATTTAAGAGCAAGGCGAGATCCTAATCATTTATGCCTAAAGAAATTTTGGGTTCTCAGGCAAGCACCCTTTGGTCAGTTGGTAGAGGGGGGGGGGGCTGATCCATCCTTTCCTCCCCCTCACTGCAAATGAACACTGCATCGTGACCAGCGACGGGGAAGTTACGGAAGGTTGAATAATCAGAAGTTTCTTATTAATTACTAAATTGTTAAGTACTGTACTTGCTAGACAGGTTCTACTTTAACCTCAGTTACCGAAGTCGAGGCGCTGCGACACGTTTTGCACTCCTTTAACAGACTATTTCATGAGCGACTAAGCACAACATTTAATCATTCAAACTACAGCCTATCTTATCCATTTATATATATTTCCTACCAAGCTCTAGCACAGTTTAGATCTTTTTCTTTCAAGTATTTAATTGATCCCTACCAATTTATGTGTGTAGTGATAAAGTTCTTAACCTGTAGCCATAATTGGTTAGAGTCATTCTGTCAGCCAACATCAAGTGAAAGTTTTTAGCAGAAACTCTCGGATTCGTTTCCCTCTGGGGAAGAATGCCACTGAAACCACCACGTTAAGATAACCCATTGTCGGGAAGGGTCAGAATATGGGCTATTATACAACTATGCAGAAATTGGTAAATATTGCCCACTTCAAATACTTTGAAATTTATTTTTACGCCCATGAAAGGTGTTAATCAGCAAAACTAGCAAAATTATGAACCATTTAAAGTTTAATTTTTAGCCTTTAATCATTGCGAAGTAGTAACGAGCTTTCAAGCACGTTAAAATGGGTCATGGTAAAGGTACTACAATCAGTGCTCACGAACATATTTCCTGGAAAAAGTTGTGATTAATGGTATCAACTTTTCAAGATGTTTGAGAGGGCATCAAAACTTTATACTTAAAGGCGATGCTGTACAACGGTACGTTTAATTTGGTGACCCGTCCAGAGGTTCAGATTGGTGTTAAGATATTGACAAACCATTTGCGATTTGCGTGGATATTAAATTTAAACCTTTTTCCGTACACGAGCTGATTTAACACCAGTCTTAAATACTTCAGTTGAAGTTACATTACTAAAAAATTAAGCACTGTCAATGAACTCTCAACAAACGATATTAAACTTACGTGCAATTCCATTTAGGGCAACAAGCTAGAGGATCAACAACAAGATGGCAGTCATCTCCTGGAGGGATTACTGGACAGGTCACGGAGGTGCAATCTTCTCTGAAAGATCAAAAATATACAATAGACTTTTTACCATTTGTGGCAAAACAGTTTATTAATTCTTTTAAAGGAATAATTTACACTCACCCACACTCCCATTTCGGACAGCACTCGCCAATATCAACTTCCCGGCAGTTTGGACGAGGCTGCGGTACACATTCTTTAGTGATGTTCAGTATACCAACCTGCGTGCATACTCTCCTAGTACACTCGTCACTTTCCCACGTGCTGTGCAGCTCATGATAACCGTCATTGTCGGTGCAACCACTGCAAGAAAACTTTAGTTACGCTGGTCAAAGAATTCATGGAAAGAGGGTCACTGATAGTGATGGGGCAACTAATGGGTATTTATTCTTTGGGTCAAGAGTGACAGGCATTAAGGAATTTACTTTTAAATAGAAAATGTCCCAACACTAAGGAATCCTCAGTTCCTTTACATTCTAGACTGGCACTAGTAAGGAAACTAAAAATTGGCCAAAGCATTTATGGGAATGGAGGGGTGAATTGAATTTTAGCGAATTTTAATTGGTTATCGATATAGGTTAGTTAACATTCACCAAGCGAGTACAGACTCCACAATTCCGACTTCTTAAATTTATGGTTTAATAGCTAATCCCCTCTTTCCCCCCCCCCTGAAAACTAGCTTCTGGTGCCTAGCCCTTCAAAAAAGTTCACCCAACGTCACTGCAAGAAGACCCACCCCTTTAGACGGGTGTTAAATATCTAGACAGTAATGAAAACTTCCAGCAGTGGGATGCCTTTAAGCCTAGTACGACCCCGCTGAAGACTAAGTTCATATTCAAAGGCGTCAAATAAGCTTTCGTAGTTTTAAGTTACCTGCATAAGTAACGTTAAAGAAACTTAATTTAAAAATATAGAAAGGTATGATTTAATCATTGAATTAAATTAGTGTAATCTTAATATGCCCGAGTGTTTTGAAGCAAATTTGTCGCTTCAGAGCGCGCAATGAGACTTTTGGAAGTATTTCCTTATTTTTTTCCAAACCCGCTTAACTTTAATCTGTCAGTTTGCAATTCTTTATTTTTGCTTATACCCTTTAACATCCAACATCTGGTGCCGGCAATCTTATTTTTCATTCTGCTCTTTTAAAGGACTAATTTTTTCTTAGCTGCTAGGAAGCTGGAAGCAAAAAAAAAAAAAAAAAAAAACTTCACAAAGTGCTCTAGTTTAGTTATGATTTTCACAGCTGCATTACAAATTTTTTGGTATGGAAATAGGTTTATTTAACAATTTGCCACTTAGTATTTATATGCTACTTTCATCAAAACTCAATCTTTGGAGTTCTAATTTCCAGTCAAGAACGAACAAAAGGACACGAAACGCGAGTGTAAGCCGACAAAATTCTCAGCTCCTTTAACCCGTAAACGGTCCAAACATACATGTATACGTTTTTTCAACATTTGAATGTAAAAAATTTAGCTTTTTTTTTACATTTGAAAAATTAAAAAATGTAGATCTACTTTTGTAACTACACATGTGAACGTAGATCTGCAAGGAAACCCGACTTGCTAGGTTGTATTACCGCTAAATTATGATTAGCAGTTCTGGGAAGGGACAGCGCCAGCTTAAGTTCAGTACATTAAAGTCTGCAGACTAACATTTCACTCTGTACAGTAAAGTATTAAGCAATACTATTAAGACTAGTTGAACTCTTTTCAACGTAAAAAAAAGAGTCCCCAAGTGATATTCTTTAAACAGTCGCCCGAACCTACGAAATTAGAGTACCATTAAGGAAGAGTGTCTTAAAGAGGCTGGGGGACTAAACACTGCAAGCCATGACTGATACATGCGCCTTTTTTCTAACTGTAGAATCACAGTCAAGTCTTCTATAAAAGTCTTTCGACCCATTCATCAATGAAAGCTTTGCATGGAAGTAAATGATAAAATACCGACAAAGAAAACAAGCCGTATAATGTGATCCTTTATTGACAAAGTTTACCCCACACAGTGGGCTTTATCAAGTCACACAGATTGACTTCATAAACCTCACTGCGGGCGAAACTCTAGGACCACATACTGCTCGTGTCCTATTCCCACAAGCTTTGTATACTGCTCTCCAAAATTAGTTTTGTTAACATACCAGCCCAGCAGAGAAACTTACCCACAATTCCATTTAGGGCAACATTCCATGGGCGCCTTAACAGGCTGACAGTCGCTGGATGGTGGTGGAGGGCAAAACACCAGTTTGCAGTCTTGCCTGGAAGATAAGTCTGATCAATCTTGCCAGTGGTAAATCATTAACAATTAGTCAACATGAAGATTTATCACCGGGAGGATAAAGCTAGGAACCTAATGAAAAATGTTAAAACCTTTCAAAGTAACCTGTCAGTACAATGAAGTGACTTCAATTAGCATTTTCGTAGTGTTAAAATTTATTCACTTTTGGAATTTACAAATTGAGTAGCTATCTAAAAATGGCGAAGCCAGGGACTGAGTCGACCACACTTGCTAAAATATGGATTAGATTAAGAACCCTTGGGATGACTAGAGAATTCAACCAGTTCTTGTGGAAAAAGCCGTTCTTACCAGACACTTCGGCGTCATTACTCCTGAAGAGTACTCTTCAGGGAAGGTTTTCTATAAATTTCACTGTTTACTTCCTGCTTATTTCCTCAGTACCGAGTACTGATGTTGCTTAATTCCTTTCCTAGTTTATTTCAAGGAACTAATTCATACCACTAGTTAATTCTAACTAGTTTGAAGATTGCACGGGAGACAAGTAAAATATTTGCCAAGACGCACCGATTTAAAACTTTCGATAGGACTATTAGCTATGCGTAAGAGATTACACAATATGATGTTTACCATACTGTATACGAATGTACCTTTTTTTCGGAAAAAAGAATTCCAGAAAAGCAAGCTAGGAATCCAAAATTACCAAAGTAAAATCCAGCCTAGACTTTAGGGAGAGTCTAGCTTAGTTATTCCTGTACAAGAAAATACTTTCCAACCCGGAACCAGCGCTCGAGACTAATCAGGATACCTGTGGCAAGATCAAGAAAGTAGTTATTGCGAGTTATTTAAATTCCAAGTTGATTTAACCTAATTACCAGTTGGCCAATGCGACCACAACTTAGTATGAAGCACCAGCCGAGTCATTCTTGCACGGTACATATATTGTGCGGGTGGCCAGAACACTGGGAAAGTAAAGCCATCAGATTTTAAAGAGAAACCCGTAGGAGACTAGCATGATGGGTAGGAACCAGTATCAGTTCAGACTGATTCTAGTAAAGTTTCAGTAACTACTAAAGGAACGAACCATCACAGCGATGTTAGAAAAAAAAATTTCCCCGAGTTAAGCGAAATACTTTCGCCACAAGGCTTCCCCTAGGTGAAATACTTAGAAAAAGGGGGGGCATGGGGGGGGGGTCTAAGTAATTTTGGGCGCCCTGAAGCTCCTACGAAAAATTACTCACCCACATTCCCATCGTGGACAACACTCGCCAGGCTGTAAAACTTCGCGACAATTTGGATGAGGCGGCGGTCCACAAATTCTCGTTCTCTTCAAGATTCCGCTTAAGGTACAAATATGCGTGATGCAGGGACTAGTTTGCCAGGTACTGTAGAGCTTATGATGCTCTCCAGTGTCGTCCACACACCCACTGAAACATTGTGAAATTCTCTGTATATCAGTTTTGAACCTTGTGTGGGCAAGATTTCTTAAACCAAATTTAGTAAACTAGTTTATGGAATTTTAAGAGCGGCAGAAGTGAAAAAAAAAAGATAAGAATGCATTTCAGTATACAAGTTCAAGAAATGGGAAGACTGGCATGCTTAAAAATAGAATGGCTTAATTAAGCAGCCCCAGGAAACTACAACAACATTACGCAATTGGCATGAAAGTTCTTACCGCGTGACCGTGCAGTTCCACGTGGGACAACATGATCCTTCAATCTCGATACAGTGGCTATATGGCTTCGAAGGACACGCAATAAGAAGTGTTTGGCACACTGTTCTGCCATCAGTGCATACACATTTGTGGCATTGATCTGGCTGCCAGCTAGCACCTTCATCCTGGATCAGTCCAGTGTGGTCCACGCAAGAAAACTGGCAGGTATTACATTCAACTGGAAGAAATTAATAGTAATTGGTTTGTAAATTCAAAATTATGTATCCGTTCTTTATCCTGTATATTCCTTCACAGCTATCACGTTCTTGAGCAAACCATTTAACAGGTTACACTGAATAGTTATACTTTTCAAATCTTAGAATATACGTAAATGCCTAAAATTCACAATTCACTAGTATCTAAAGCACTAGTAAACGAAAGCCGATATCTCATCAATGGTCAGATTTATGCAAGAAATGCAAAAACTTTATACCAGTAACTTTATGAACCTTCAGTTGAAAATTTTAACTAGGGAAATTAGTTATTCTTATCCATCAACAAATCTTTCGTTTTTCAGATTAACAGTCAAATCAGGATCACAGGAATAACTTCATATTCGGCAATCGTTTTACTTAAATATTTTCATATCAGAAGTCAAAGTCTTCAATGAGGTAGGGAGTGGAAAGTCTAAAGATGGGTAATAACTAGAATGTCTACCAAATGTCACTACAATCTTCACATTAGTTGCATTTGTGTACATTTAACCCTCAAGATGCTACTAACCCCAGGCACAGCCTCATCACCGACCAACGTATTAAATTATTATTATAATCAAAAAGAAGCGCTAAGCCACAAGGACTATACAGCCAACGTATTAAAAACAATCGGCACTTAAGAATTTTAAGTAAATATTAATTCGCACTTGGCCAAATCAGGTTAATTCAGTACAGTTTAATTTCCCCCCCCCCATTCATTTTTCCCCACGAGACTCTAGATCATTAAACAAAATATATTTGCAAGCTAGGCATCCAGGGTTTGAGGGTTCAGCAGTTGAAACATTTCCTGAACGTCCTAAACTGAAGTCACCTTCAATGTTCCCTTAGGAAAACTGAAAATTTTCAAAGCAGCGACAACAGGAATAATTTAAACTGAAATCTAACACTGCCATCACTCACATTGGCACTGCGACTGTGGCAGCCTGACAGGAACAATTTCTGCAGTTAAGAAGGGTTCTTCAGTAGACAGTCTTGCTCCACACACCAGCTCAGCGCACATCTCCTTGAACACCTTCACTGACTGGCCCCACTTATACATGAGCATGTTAAAGCCGCAACCTGTTATTTATACTTTTAAAATACAAGAACTTAATTATATATTTCACAAACTTATTTGCAAAGCATCGAAAATTTCAACTACCTCTAATATGGATAATTGTGATAAAGTACATTGAGCTAAGAGGTGCAGTACTCGCCTGAAGGCACCCTACTGCAAAGTGGGCAGCAGCCATGTTCCGAACAGCACTGTTCAAATTCCGGGGAATTTTCTTGGAAGCGGCAGCAAGCCCAGGCACCACACTGGGTCAATTGGGAGTCCGCAGCATCTGCTGTTAAATAAGATTAAGTAGTTAAGCTATGCGATGAAAGTAGGCCTAGTATCTCTAGCCCCAGCGCCACTTCCTTTATTTCAGTGCACGCAAGATAAAGATACTTCCAAAATTAAAACGCAGGAGTGCGCATGTATGCACACATGCATGCGGAAACAGGCACGTGTACGCATCTAGTATGTAGGAACATTTTGTGAACAATTTTATTTTAAACTCTTGTATGCGCGCATTCGTGCATATACTTTCGTACGAATGCATAACAGTAGGTATACGCTTGTACAATCTTAAATTTAGGCTAATTTAACATTTCCGAATTCTAGATAACTTTAGAATTGCATGAAAAATATCTAGAGAATTTTTCAGCTTATTGCTCCCACATCTTGGTTCAGTACGCACTTGCTCAAATGCGGCGTGATCCAAGGATTGTATCCAGTATTGCACAGCCAGTGCTTCAAGGGTAGCAGTTGAGGTTGTACAGAATGCCACACAAGTTTTAATTGTTATATTACCTTCTCGCAGATTTTTAATGTATTCAGAAGCATTTTAAAGTTTAAAGTGTCTAAATCGATAAAATTGTAAATTTGGACAAAGGGCCAGAATCTTGCAAGAGATAAAGAAAGACTGAGCTCAAAATACACAAGCACATTAGGCTTTGAAACTTCAGGTTTCATAAGTTTGGAAGGATCGAGTCTAACTTCCAAAGTAGCACTCATTTTTTCACTATTTTCCGAAAGTAAATGTTTTTGCATTAGCAAAAATAAATTTAAGCCTCAGATTGGCCACCTTTGAAAGGTATAGCAGGGTTTTATGACTCAAATTTTAATGATTTAGGAAGTCATTTATTAGGCAGAGGAACTATGGAGCTGACGTGTGATCAGATTCATAAAAAATTACTAAACCACGCTTTAATAAAGTGTCAAAGATAAAACCATGAAAGTTATGAACCGAGGATAAAACTTAACTTTACTAAATGTGGAATTTAATATACAAGACAATAAGGAGCTCATACATTCACAGGCATATGAATCTTGTCTAAAGGCTGGGTACCAGCATTCAAAATTTGGATTTATCTGATGTGGCATTAATTTTAAACAGCCTTCATAAATGTTTAATATATCAGCTTCCAGTTTTATTGTATTCCAAGTCAATTTCAATATATCTGGTAAGTTGGCACTAAAAGCATGATAAATGTTTAGGGTTAAGAGGGATTTCAAGTTATTGCACTGGGAAAATTTAGGTCCATTTAAAAATACGTGCATATTCTCTTGTCAGGAGATTTCTAAGTATTTAAAGCGGAAAAACTGAAAACCTGCTAGATCTCTAGCAAGTTAAATTTAACAAAAGTATTTAAAAGCAAGTTTCCTTTACCACGGTATTTTAACCCACTTGTTCGTAATAGAAAGACGAAGGTAACTATTTCGAGGGAGACTGGAATAGTTAACTTTCTGTAATGTAGTGAACTATTTTGGCTAATCTTATTAATCTAATCTAATGGAGGCAACTCGGGGAGGTTCGCAACAGAGGAGAATGTATTGGAATGGTGGGAGAAGCATGCTAAATTGCAGATTAAGGAGTTATCAGCATAGAGGACGGGATGAGGCGAGGTGGAGGTTTGGTTTACAGAAATTTTGAGGGGCAGCTCAATGACTTTAAAGGGGGGGGGGGGGGGGTTAGCATGGAAAAAGGTTTTTTTTGGGGGAAGAGGGGGGATAACAAAATTCTCGTTTGATGCAATCTGGAGGGAAGGATTAGAGGAGGTACTTGGGGTAAAACCCGTCAGGATGTGTTGGGGAATTAGGGAAATTGGGGGTGAAAAGGAGTGGGGCAGGTACTGGTCCCAAACAAAGGGAAGAATAATTAGCTGTTTTTTTTACGGAAATTTTAAGCAGGGGGAGGGGGGGAGATTCTAGGGGAAAGGGAAAAGGGGATTTTAAGGGGGGGGGCGGAATTTGATGGAGGATCAGTGAGGGGGGAGGCGGCGGTAATGGGCTTGAGTGGGGGAAAAAGCGCCCGGGGTTGTGGAATCCTAATTTTTTTCTATATTTGACATTGGGATTGTATAAGGAATGTTGGGCCTTAACTGTATGAAGGAAAGGAGTGTGGGGGAATCGCAGGGCCCGGGGAGTTTTTTTGGTTAAGGGAGGGAGGGGGGAAGACCTTTGGGTGCTTTTAAGCGATCTCCCTCATGTGTGCTGATTAATGTTTTCACGAAGGGTTTTTTGGGAATCGTATGAAAAAGGTGCTTTACCGGTTCACATGAGGCAGTTGGGTTCCAGGTCGAAGTATGCGTGAAGGGCATTGAAGAATTGGGGTTTTCGTGGAGAGTAGACAAGGGGGGGGGGATCTGGGGGATTGTTTTAAAGCGGTTATGACTGTCGATAGACATGTGGAGTAATTTAAAAAAACAGGGTTTTGGGGATGAGTTTGTCGCGGGCGACATTTGTATACGCCTGCGGGGGTTTCAGGGTACAGGTTAAGGGAATTTTAGGGTTGCGGTGCTTTGGGGGAAAGGTTTGGGAGACGGGATTGCCCCTTGTCTCAAATCCTCTTTGCTGCATGACCCTTTTTATGGCTTTGAAAAAGGGGAGTGGGGGGAAAGGGAGAGGGGGGGCCCGGGAGATTGGTATTGTGGGGTATGTGGACGACCACCGTATTGGTGGGGGGGTAAATAGGTTTGGGGGAATGGGGGACGTATAATAGAGTTTTTTTTGGGGAACAGGGATGAGGGTTAATGGAGCAAAGCATTTTTGAATAGGCCCCGTGGGGGGGATAACTGAGGGTGGAACAATTGATAAAAATTAAAATGTGGGGTGTGCAGGCGGCGCGGGGAGGCGCAGAGAATAAATTCCAAGGGTGTTGTGGTAAGCGTGGGTAGGAGCGGGGGGAGGGTGGGGAAGTAACGTTGCAGCCCGGGGGGGTGGTAGTAAACATGTGTGTATGTAAAAATGTGGGGGTGGCGAAATATTCCCCCGAGTCGTGTGATATTCAGGAACTGGGGGGTGGTTTGAGGTAGTGTGGGGTTTTTGGGAAGCCATGGCTACGGGGAAGGAGGTGGTGGTGAGGGCGTGCGGGGTGGGGGGCTGGGTCTTAAACCTTTTTGGGGACCGAGTGAAGGCGTGTATGTGAAGCGCGGATTGGGGCGGAAGGGGGAGGGGTAGAAAGGGGGGAAAGGGGCAGGAGGATGTGCGAAAATGGTGGAAGGGGAAGGCACTACTGGTGTGTGAGGACATGGTGCATAATTTGTTGGCAATACGGGATGCAAAAAAAGGTAAGGGCTTGGGAGGACAGGTAGGCAGCGCAAAGTGATACAGGGAGTAGCAACATACCCTTTGTATGATTGGAGGGGCATTTGGGAAGACTTTCGGAAGATTAGATTAAAGCCAAGGGTTCGTAAAGTGGTTTATAGGTTCTTTATGGGAATTCTAGCTACAAGGTCAGCACTATATAGAATGGGTTATGTAGGTGCGGGCACTTTTTTGCATTGTGAGGAAGAGGAGACTGCTTTTCATGCTGTACATTTTTGTGAAAACTTGGAGGTTGTAAGGACATGGTCAGCGAGGGTCCTGGGTATAGTGGCGGGAGGGGGAGAAAAATTTCGACTTTGAGGGCTTTGCATTTTGATGTAGGCGGGGTTTCCAAGGACATTCGGAGGGCAGTGATGTAGTGGCAGATTTTTTGTAAGTGTCTTGGTGCATGCGGGAGGTCAGGGGGGGGGCGATTGTAGGGTGCGGGCGCTTGTGGAGAGTATTGTACAGTTGGCAGAAATAGGCTATATGGGAGGTTGTGGGTAAATAGTTTTCCCTTGGGTTATCGTAATCTGACGGTAGGTGTAATGTTAGGGTTGGGTGTAGTTTAGATCTGGAATGGGTCGTTTCTCCCTAAACTGGCACTTTTGTTCCGTTTTGAGATTAGTGGAGGATGGAAGGTGGAATAAAAGTGTGGTAGTGGAGTATAAGGGTGTAAAGTAGTTAGGAATGAGGGGGTGCGTGAACTAGTGACTTTTGGTTAAGAGACGGGTTTTATGGCTTTAGACGTTAGGTACAGACTTAAGCATGAAAGGGAAGTGTATGTATAATGTTCGCCAAGACCGTAGTCTTGGCACGGGTCTCAGTCTTGCGATGACCCGTCTCTGGCTCCCGATGGAGAAAGGTTTCTACAATGATGAGACGTATGCTGCTCAAGCACTCTTCTGGCCAGTTCAACTGGTGCATCTCATAAGCGACACCATATGTACTCCTAACTATGGACACTAGCTAGGAGGAGGAAATGTCGTTATCACAGGTAACAGCTTGTCTGGTTCGTTGACCCCATGGTATACTAGTGTGGCCGCAGTCATCTGTCCTCTTCGGGAGGGAATATCACTCCTAGTTGCCTGCGGAGTGTCTCAGTAGCTTCGCACTCTGAAAGATAGTGTTAGGGGCCGCTGGACAACGTGCTGACAGTACTGGCACATCTCCTCAGCCTTGTCTACCATCATCTTGGCTGTGGGAAAGCCCAAACGAAGCCGATGATGGCGGTACACTGCGCTCTGGACCAGCTTCTATCATATGGAGGTGGCTCTCCCAGAGTCGCTGCTCTGTACCACTGTTGAGATGGGGTATCACCTAAGACCTCCCCCATAAGTTTCATGGCTCTGGCAGCCACCAGTTTGGTCTGTCGTAGGCTGATTGGGACAGTAATCCCAACATGTGGATAGTCTGTTGCTGCCTTGGCTGCAACATCTGCCGCCTCATTTCCCCGGATGCCAGCATGGCTGGGGATACAGTTCAATGTCGATCTGTTACCCTGAACTTCTAAGGCTGTCATTATGCTCAGGATCGATGTGATCAGGTGAACATTGTCCTGTGGTTGAGGATGGGAGAGGGCATTTATGGCAGAGGTGGAATCAATATGCATGACAGGTCGGCATGAAAGGGAACGCGAGTGTTTTTTAATATATAGTATGGGGTCAGGGGATGGCTTTCTGAAGTCTTGTGCCAGGATGGTTTTTTAATGATTGAGGTAGTACTGCTCTGTATATGCTTTATTAGGAGCCATAATGTTATATTATGTAATTTAGTGTGACAGTAAGTGATATTGTTCTGGAACTTTGTTAATATATACATCTTGTTGAACATTATAATACATAAATATGGGAATATGTATTAGTGTGCGAGTTTCAATGTCTAGTGCACTGTTACCATATTAGTTGGTGCCCTTCACTTTGTCAAGTAATTACTATCTATATATTGTTATAAGTTTTATGTTAGTTATTTTATAAGTTTAAGTGAACAAATGTAGGATAAACCATACCACGGGCGGGATTGAACCCGCGGTCAGTCTCAAACCTCCAGACCGTCAGAGAAATGTAAGGTTGTGACGTCTAGTGCAAGTGGCTTTTATCTTGCACAGGGGAAAAGGGGAAGTGTAATTTAATTATGATTGGATCATAACTACTTAATTGAATGTGTGTACACTATTTAGAAGACGGGAAGGATTGCGAGGATTGTCAATATATGTATTAATTCTTATTCAAATTTCATGGAATTCTGCGTAATAACAATGTACACCTATTAGTCGGATAAGTATAATTGAGATTTTATGCTTATTGTAATTATTTTGATTGATAAAATGTATAATCTGGTATTTAGCATTGGAGTAAAGTGATAAAAAGCACAGGGGATGGGGGGGATATTGTGTCAGCACAAAGATGAACCTGCAGTGTGTATTTACAAAATGGAAAAAGTTTTATTTTTCCTGTGGCGGAGTCGATAAGGTTCTTTTTATTCTTTTATTTTAATGTATTTTAATGTATTTTTAAATAAAAAAAATCTTATTAATCTAAAAGTAGTAACTAAGAACTTCAGGAACCTAATAATTAAAGTGTACAATAGAAAACTTCTGGCATTAGTAAGAGGCCTACTTAAGTGTTATCACCTGCTCAGTTTTTTCAAGTTTACTTACCAGTATGGGATCTGCAATCAATGGGGCAGCAGCCGTGTTCAGCACAACAAGCGTTGAATTCTGACGAGAACATTGTGTACTTGCAACACTCCTCTGGGTTAAAGCACTCTTGTTCATGGCTCCTGACAGTGCCGCAGCCGCCTGTGGGATTTACCATGAAAATTTTTCATTAATTGGCACAATTTTTTTATTTTAATGACAGCCTACCTCCTCTGGGTTCAAACAGAAAACTATAGGTTTGGATTATAACACTAGTTAACTGGAGCATTATCTGTACGCTCTTTCCTTTCATCTAACTAGAGAAAAGTTACTTTTAAAGTTCTGATACTTTTAATTAAGTATATTCCTTTTTTCGATTATTAACCTATCCATGGTAGTGCAGATGCCGGCATCAGTAAATTTAAAATTTGGGTAAGCATTACACAGTTTACTAGAAACTAACACGTATGAGGAAAGTTCAGAAAAACCTCGACATATGCATAGTAATACGGGTTACCGTGTTCGAAACTACTTCAAATGGAACAAATTAACGAGGCCAAATTATCCCCCATCCCCTCCCCTTACTGCTAAAAGTGATACCCTCCTCACGGGATTCGGGGAAGAATTTAAATGTGAAGTGCTAAAAAGGGTGAACCCAGTTTAAAAAGGGTTTTAAATTACCTTTTGGGCTAGATCCCTTTATTAAAATTCTTTGGGGGGCGTTTAAACCCCGTACAATTTTAAAACAGCGCTGGGGGGGGGGGGGGGAAAAAAGAAAGGAAATTCGGGAACAATTGGGGAAACCCCCGAGAACAGACCCCAATCCCCTACATCAAAAGCCCTCCCCCCGGGGTCAAGAAATTCCTAAGGGTAATCCCTTTCAGATCGGGGGAATCAAATTTAATTTTTTTTATTTTTTTTTTTTTTAAAAAAAAGGCACAGTAAAAGGAAAATAAATAAAAAAAAGGGAAAACAATTATTAACCTTTTGAAAAATAAAATTGACCAAAACCCCATCAACCCCAAGCATACCACAAAGGTTTTAAACATTCATATTGTTTTTAAAGAATATACCACACCCAACAATGAAACAAACGGGGAAAAACACCTGCTCAAAAAAAACATCAAAAAAAATTCTAAACCTAAAAAATCATGCCTATTATACGTACAGAAAAAACCCCTTGCAAAAATTTTCAAAAGTTTATATGTTTGAAAAGCAAAAAGAAGGATAAAATCAACTTTCCCAATTTTTTAAAAAAAAGGCAAAACCCAACCGACAAAAAAAATTTAAAAAGGGGCCCATCCCAAACTTTAAAATTATTTCCCCGCTAAAGCAGGAAATCTTAACTTTAAAAAAGAGCGAGAGGCTCCACCCGAAAAAAAAAAAAATTTAAAAAAACCCAAAAAAAACTCAAAATTTTTTATGTTTGTGCCCCAACAAAAATCCCCCACAACCTTCTGTAAAAAATTAAACCCCCCTTGCACAAATTTGAAACAAAAAATAATTTTTAACATAAAAAAATTTAAAAATTTTTTAAAAGAACATTTTTTTAAAACATTGGGAAAACCCCAAACCGGGACAATAAACAAACAATTGGTACTTTATCACAATGAAACTCCCCAATAAACACTGGGCAGGAAAACACCCTCAAAAAAAACATCATATACGCAAGTATCAACCTTAAAAAAAAAAAAAAAAAGGAAAAATTTTTTAAAAAAAAAACCTTTTCCCCCTTTTTAAAAAAAAATTTTTTTTTTTTTTTTTTTTTTTTTTTTTTTTTTTTTTTTTTTTTTAAAAAATTTTAAAAAAAAAAAAAATTTTTTTTTTTTTTTTTTGGTTTTTTTTTTAAAAAGGTTTCCCAAAAAAAAAAAATTTTTCCCCCCCCCTTTACCCCCCTTTTTCCCCCCCCAAAAAAAACCCCCCCCCCAAACCAAAAACCCCCCCAAAAAACCCCCCCCCCCCCTTTCCCCCCCCCCCGGGGGGGGGGGAAAAGGGGGCCCCCCCAAAAAAGGGGGGTTTTTCCCCCTCCCCCCCCCCCCCCCCCCTTTTCCCATTTAAAAAAAATTCTAAAATTTTTTCCCAAAAACCCCCCCCCCCCCCAAATTCCCTTTAAAAATTTAAAAAATTTTGGTTTTTTTTGGCCCCCCTTTCCCCCCCAAAAAACCCAAAACCAAAACCCCCCCCAAAAAAATTTTTCCCCCCCCCCCCCTTAAAAACCCCCAAAAAAACCCCCCCCCCAAAAAAAAAAAACCCGGGCCCCCCCCCAAAAAAAAAAAAAAATTCCCCCCCCAAAATAAAAAACCCCCCAAAAAATTTTAAAAAATTTTCCCCCCTTTCCCCCTTTTTGGTTTTTTTCAAACCCCTTTTCCCCCCCCCCCCAAAATTTTTTTCCCCCCCCCCCCCGTTTTAAAAAAAAAAAAAAACCCCTTTCCCCAAAAAACCTTTTTTTTTTTCCCCCCCCCCCCCCAACCCCCCCCCCCCCAAAAAAATTTTTTTTTTAAAAAAACCCCCCCCCTTTCCCCCCCCCCCCCCCTTTTTTTTTTAAAACCCTTTCCCAAACCCCCCAAACCCCCCAAACCCCCAAAATTTTTCCCCCTTTTTTCCCCCCCCTTTTTTAAAAAAACCCCCCACTTCCCCCAAAATTTCCCGGGTTTTCCAATATTTTTCTCTTTTTCCCCCCCCCCCCTTCCCTTTCCCCCCCCCAAAAAAAAAAAAAAAATTTTTTTGGAAAGGGGTTCCCTTTCCCCCCTTTTTTCCCCCCCCCAAAAACCCCCTTTTTAAAGTTTCCCCCCCCCCCCCCCCCCAACCAATTCCCCCAAAAAATTTTTTTTTTAAAAAAAAAAACCCCCCCCCCCCCCCCCAACCCCCCCTTTAACCCCTTTTAAATTTAAAAAACCCCCCCCCCCCCCCCCTTTTTTCCCCCCCCCCTTTTTTTTTTTCCCCCCCCCCCTTTTTAAAAAAACCCCAAAACCCCCCAAAAAAATTCCCCCCCCCCCCCCCCTTTTTTCCTTTAAAACCCCCCCCCCCCATTAAAAGGGCCCAAAAAACCCCAAAAAAAGGGGGGGCCCCTTTCCCCCCCCCAAAAACCCCCCCAAAAAATTTTAAAAAAAAAAAAATAAAATTAACCCCTAAACCCAAAATTTCCCCCCCCCCCTCAAAAATTTTTTAAAAACCCCCCCCCCCCCCCCTTTTTGGGAAAAAAACCCCCCCCCTTTCCCCTTCCCAAAACCCCCCCTTTTTTTTAAAAAAATTTTTTGAAATTTTTTTTCCTTTTTGGGGCCCCCCCCCCTTTTTTCCCCCCCCTTTTTTTTTTTGGTTTTTTTAAAAAAATTTTTTAAAAAAAAAAAAAAAACCCCCTTTTTTTTTCCCCCCCCTTTTTAAAAAAACCCAAAACCCTTTTTTGGGTTTTCCCCCTTTTCCCCCCCCCCAAACCCCCCCCAATAAACCCCCCCCCCCCAAAAAAAAAAAAAACCCTTTTTTTAAAAAACCCCCCTTAACCCCCTTTTTCCCCCCCCCCCAAACCCCCCCTTTTTAAAAAAAAAAAGCTTTTTTTTTCCTTAAAAAAAACCCCCCCCCTCCCGGAAAAATTTTTTGGGCCCCCCCTTTCCCCCCCCCCCTTTTTTAAAAATAAACCCCCCAAAAAAATTTCCCCTTTTTTGGGCCAAAACCCCCAAAAAATTTTTCCCCCCCGGCCCCCCAAAACCCCCCCCCCTTTTTCCCCCCTTTTTTCCCCCCCCCAAAAAAAAAAATTTTTTTTTTTTTAAACCCCCCCCCCCCTTTTTTTAAAACCCGGGAAAAAAAACCCCCCCCCCCCCTTTTTCCCCCGTTAACCCCCCTTCCCCCCCCCCCCAAAAGAAAAAGGGTTTTCCCCCCCCAAAAAAACCCCCCCCGTCCCCCCCCCCCCCAAAATTTAATTCCAAACCCCCCCCCCCAACCCCCCTTTTTCCAAAAAAACCCCGGGGGCCCCCCCCCCAAAAAACCCCCCCCCTTTTTTCCCCCCCTTTTTTTCCCCCCCAAAAAAAGGTACCCCCTTCCCCCCCCCCCAAAAACAAAAACCCCAAAACCCCAAAAAAAACCCAAAACCCAATTTCCCCCCCCCCCTTTTCCCAAAACCCCCCCCCCCCCCCCAAAAACCCCTTTTAAGTTCCCCCCAAAAAAAACCCCCCCCCCCCCAAAAAATTCCAAAATTTCCCCCAAACAATTTTTTCCCCCAAAAACCCCCCCCAAATTCCCCCCCCCCACCCCCCCAAAAAACCAAACCCCCCCCTTTTTTTCCCCCCAATTTTTAAAAAAAGGGGGCCCTTTTCCCCCCCCCCCCCTTTTTTTTTCAAAAAACCCCCCCAAAAATTCCCCCAAAAAAATTTTTCCCCCCCCCCTTTTCCCCCCCCCCCCCCCAAAAAAAACCCCCCCCCCCCCCGGGCACCAAAAGGGGTTTTTTAAAAAGGCCCTTTCCCCCCCCCTTTTTTTAAAAACCCCCGGGGCCCCCCCCCCCAAAACCAAATTTTTTTTTTTGGTTTTCCCCCCCAAAAAAACCCCTTCCCCCCCACCCCCCCGGAAACCCCCCCCCCAAAAAAAAAAAAAAAAAAAAAAAAAAAAACCCCCCTTTTTTAAAAAAAAAAAAAACCCAAAAAAAAAGGGGGAAAAAAAACAAAAAAAAATTTTAAAAAAAAAAAAAAACCCCCCAAAAAAAATTTTCCCCCCGGGGGTTTTAAACCCCCCCCCAAAAACCCCCCCCCCCATTTCCCCCCCCCCCCCCGGCCCCCCCCCCCCAAAAACCCCCCCCCCCCCCCCCCCCCCCCCCCCCCCCCCCCCCCCAACCCCCCCCCCCCCCCCCCCCCCCCCCCCCCCCCCCCCCCCCCCCCCCCCCCCCCCCCCCCCTTTCCCCCCCCCCCCCCCCCCCCCCCCCCCCCCCCCCCCCTTTCCCCCCCCCCCCCCCCCTTAAAAAACCCCCCCTTTTCCCCCCCCCCCAAAACCCCCCCCCCTATTTTCCCCCCCCCCCCCCCCCCCCCCTCCCCCCCCAAACCCCCCCCCCCCCCCCCCCCCCCCCCCCCCTTTCCCCCCCCCCCCCAAAAAACCCCCCCCCCCCCCCCTTTCCCCCCCCCCTTTAATTCCCCCCTTTCCCCCTTTTTCCCCCCCCAAACCCCCCCCCCCCCCCCCCCCCGGAAAAAAAAAACCCCCCCCCCCCTTTTGGCCCCCCCCCCCCCCCAAAACCCCCCCCCCCCCCCCCCCCCCCTTTTTTTCCCCCCCCCCCCCCCACCCCCCCTTTTTTTCCCCCCTTTTTCCCCCCCCCCCCCCCCCCCCCCCCCTCCCCCCCAAAACCCCCCCCCCTTTTTTCCCCCCCCCCCCCCCCAAAAAAAACCCCCCCCCCCCCCCCCCGGCCCCCCCCCCCCCCCCCCCCCCCCCCCCCCCTTAAAACCCCCCCCAAAAAAAACCCCCAAAAAAAACCCCCCCCCCCCCCCCCCCCCCCCCGGGGGGGGTTTTTTTCCCCCCCCCCCCCTTTAACCCGGGCCCCCTTAAATTTTTTCCCCCCCCCCCCCCCATTTCCCCCTTTTTTTTTTTTCCCCCCCCAAAAACCCCCCCCCCCCCCCCCCCGGGTTTTCCCCCCCCCCCGTTCCCCCAAAAAAACCCCCCCCCCCCCCCCCCCCCCAACCCCCCTTTTTTTTTCCCCCCCCCCCCCCCCCCCAATTTTTTTCCCCCCCCAAAAAACCCCCCCCCCCCCCCCCCCCCCCCCCCCCCCCCCTTTTTCCCCCCCCCCCCCCCCCCCCCCCCCAAAGGGCCCCCCCCCCCCCCCCCCCCCCCCCCCCCCCCCCAAAAAATTTTTTTTTTCCCCCCCCCCCCCCCCCTTTTTTTTTTAAAAACCCCCCCCCCCCCCCCTTTTTGGCCCCCCCCCCCCCCCCCAAAAACCCCCCCCAACGGCCCCCCCAAATTTTTCCCCCCCCCCCCCCCCATTTCCCCCTTTTTTTCCCCCCCCCCCCCCCCCCCCCTTCCCCAAAAACCCCCCCCCCCCCCCTTTTTCCCCCCCCCTTTTTTTTTTCCCCCCCCCCCCCCCCCCCCCTTCCCCCCCTTCCCCAAAAAAAACCCCCAAAAAAAAACCCCCCCCCCCCAATGTCACTTAAAGTCAATTACTCGAGAAAAATGATCTGGAGTTTCAAGTTATTTGCCCATTTCACTACAGCTAGAAAAAGTAGCAATGCCAGAGAGTCTATAGCAATTTGTTGGTCAACGAGTCTGAAATTTATAATTTGAGAAGGGCCACTAACATCAGCATTTAGTCTGTATGAATTTATTTTAAAGATTACCCAACCGGGAGAAAACCTTAATGCTCTAATAATGGCGACTTTGGATATGTAAAACTAATTAAACTACCAAATACCCAAAGTTCTAAAATTAGATTTTATAGTTTTGGAGTCAATTTTCTGACCTTCAGGTGTGCAGGACTTATCACTGTCGGGAACACCTGGTTAGCCAGGTTAACTTCTGCAAGTTTACTATACTAAACCACTCATAACCAGTGTTTAGACTGGTTTAAATATAAAATGCAAGCTTTAAAATTAGACAAAAATAAAAGGAAACCAATTCCTTGGAACAAGAACCCTTCACAAGCATCAAGTGAGAACGAACTAGTGACTTCTTTTAATGAAGAATTGAGACACTTATGCAACACATGGGAATCTTTATTGAAGAAACGTTTCGCCACAGTGGCTTCATCAGTCCAATACAAAGTAGAAATGGGTAAGGAGAGTAGGAGTATGAGGTAATCAGTCCCTCAACCTGGATTCGACGTGTTCAGTCCATCACAAGTGATGGACTGAACACATCGAATCCAGGTTGAGGGACTGATTACCTCATACTTCTACTCTCCTTACCCATTTCTACTTTGTATTGGACTGATGAAGCCACTGTGTGGCGAAACGTTTCTTCAATAAAGATTCCCATGTGTTGCATAAGTGTCTCAATTCTTCAACTTGTCTGTTTTCAAAACCATTCATCACACTTCTTTTAATGTCTCGTCTATACAGTGACAGTTAACAATGGAAGGGTAACAACTGTTGCAGACAGTTACGCCCAGCTAAAGGAGGGTATTGAGAGATCAAGTCCAGAACCAGCTCCTGGCCCAGTAGAATAACAGGCAATACTGTGCAACAGACGTTAAACTTTTATCCAAAATTTCTTTACCTACATCGCCATCGTAAGATATTCGCTAGTTTATAGTCTAGGTATTTATTGTAATTTAATGAGGGTAGCGGTAAATCCGTAGGGGTCATGCAGCGCATGGGAAATGGAAATAGACGAGGGTTGATCCAGTTCCCTGGTTCAGGAGCCCCTCCCACCATTATTATCAAGCTTCACGATTTAACATCTTCGCTAGTCATAAAACGGTAGTGCGGCAACATTCATGGGAAATCGCTAAATCCTTAAGAACAGAGATAAACACGTAGTTTTAAAATTGATTAGAATATACTGGGGTCCAAATAGCAAAATAATTTCAGGGAAAGAACAGAAACCCCTACACTTCCCCAGAGGCTCCACTAACAGTATTAGGTAATCAGGCGAGGGAACACTAACAGGCTTCACTAATAGAAGCAGACAACGAGCGGGGACACCAAGGAAGCCTCTAATAAACCACGGCAGAAGGGTGGAGAAACCTCGCTAAAAGAAGCAAGATAAAAGATAAAAGGAGCTGTGAAGAGCCAACTTCATTAAAAACACGACCAGCTGGGTGGTATTGTAGTATGTACTTGGGCTGGTAAATCGGATTTGTAGCCAGTATTACCAGGAGGCTATTAAGCTTGTATGCAACTTTCACCAAATCAAAAATAAACTTTTGCATATATACCGCGGGGGGGTGACCCCCCGAAAGACCCTCCAGGTATACTGCGGGTAGCCCTGTCTGCCATACGTGAAAGTAAATTACTTACCTGGCCGAGTGAACAGCAACAGGAAGAGCAACAGCACTGCAAGCAAGACTTGACCTGCGTACTTAGAGGTCACCATTTTCACAATGGTCTACCAGGCCTTGAAATTCACTTATAAAAAACGCATCAGTTAAAACTAACAAAACTTAAAAAGTAAAAAAAAAATACAACGACGAGTGAACAGGTATATACAATCCAGGTAACAGTCAATGACCCACTGACGGTTAATTATAGTTCATTATCCGTTCTCAGTTTTGTTTCCCAAGAAGGTCAAACCACATTATTAAGCAAAGACTAATTGTGATGTCATAGTTTTGATATTAAGCAATAGATGGTGCTGACTAGTGAGGTATTCTTTTGTCCTGTAATTATACAGTCAAGGTTTTGATATGTTGTCAAATTAGGGAATAATTTCACAATTTACGTATAGTTACTTAGTGGATGTTAAGACAGGAATGGTTTAGAGATTTGTGATACACAGGATTTTGTATAGTGTGAGGTGTGTGAATGTGAGAGCAGGTACAGAAGGCTGATCTGATTCCTCGGTGGACTGAAACCCCGGGATCAGTGGCGGACCTATATTTTTGGGCCCCTGAAGCTTGAACTGTTATGAGGGCCCCATCGCAACCAGCAACTACTAGCCTACATGATACTTTAATAACCTTTTAATTTTTATTTTAATTATCTTGTATTGAATTACACTATACTATTAATATTATTTAAAAAAAACTTCTCGTACAGTAGACCCAAAATTTTTAAGCAATGTGGACTAGAGTTGGTTCTGGGGCCCCTCCAGGATTATGAGCCCTGAAGCTTAAGGTCCATTACTTTCATAGTAGATCCGCCCCTGCCCGAGATGATCTAAGTAAGTCAAGATGCGATACTAATATATACTGAGGTCTTGATCTCCTTCTGTAGGATGCGAGGTCCTGATCCCCTTCTGTAGGATGCGAGGTCCTGATCCCCTTCTGTAGGATGCGAGGTCCTGATCCCCTTCTGTAGGATGCGAGGTCCTGATCCCCTTCTGTAGGATGCGAGGTCCTGATCCCCTTCTGTAGGATGCAAGGTCCTGATCCCCTTCTGTAGGATGCGAGATCCTGATCTCCTTCTGTAGGATGCGATTCACAACACTCAACTAACTTCTAGGTTACTATTTGGCAATAAGTGGAAAGGGAAATTATGTGTTAAACCTACGAGAAGCCTCATGGGTCAGTGGAAATGTATTTCAGATCAATATTTGGCTTATATACTATGCAAAGACTTATGGGTAATTTATTTTTAATATACTAGAAGTTAGGGAAAAGGACACAGGTGCAACTTATTAGTTGCTCCTGTGGCAACGTTTCCCTCTCTAGGAGCTTTGCCAAGCCGTTAGGTAACGCTTGATACAGTTCTTGGAGAGTGAAACGTTGCCACAATAAAACGTCACAACAGTTGCACTTGTGTCCTTTTACTTAACATATTGTCGATAATTTTACCAACGTTAGTACAATTTATCAGAACTTCTAAATCCGTGTGGATCATTCAGCTCAAGGAATAGTGGAGGCTTGACTCACGAAATCGTAATGACACGATTGCAAACAAACCATACCCCGGCCGGGATTGAACCCGCGGTCAGAGAGCCTCAAAACTCCAGACAGCGGGTTCAATCCCGGCCGGGGTATGGTTTTTTTAGTGGAGGATTGATGCTCCGTTAGCTTATCTCGAGAAAGACATGTTATCATCCAAATTTACACATACATCATAAATCCAAGGTAATAACTATGATCATAATTTTTAAAGGGGTGGACCGTTAAGCCAGCAGAAGGCCTCGGTCAGATGACCAAAAGCTCCAACAGAAGGTCATCATCTATACCTGATGAAGCCACTGTGTGGCGAAACGTTTCCTGAATAAAGATTCCCATATGCTGCATAAGTGTCTCAATCTTCAACTTGTCGGTTTTTCAAACCATTCATCACAACTGTCAGACACTGCAGCATTATGGGATCTTGTTACAAAGAATTCTTCAACACTTGTTCAACCTTTGGACGAAGACCTATTTCGACTAGTGGATGGTACCACTATGACCCCGCCTCCATCTGCTTCACGTCACCTCACTACAGTATATAAGCCATGTCTACGGCCCTATGCTGTACATTCTACAAGATTGATGGACTGAACACATCGACTCCAGGTTTAGGGACTGATTACCTCATTCTCCTCCTCTCCTTACGCCTTCCTCTTTGTATTGGACTGATGAAGCTACTGTGTGGCGAAACGTTTCCTGAATAAAGATTCCCATATGCTGCATAAGTGTCTCAATCTTCATCTATACCTAGTTGGATGAATCTTACTGTAGCCAGCTGGCCCGGTGACTTAGGCACTGGCCTTGAGTTTTACGACTCACTCGTCGTGGGTTCAAACAGCACCCGTTCGTGGTTTGTTTACAGTCGTGATGTAACGATTTCGTGAGTCATGCTAACAAGTGAAAAAGCCCAGATTTGCTTGAAACGTCGCACAAATAAAGGACTCATTTGCATTTTTGTTTCAGCAGGTCTGAGACGGCAGCGTCTTGCCTTGCAGCGTCACTCATCGCCGCTACATCCATCATCGTTGAGAAAGCTGCCACTTATAACATTTCGATAACGTTAGTCCATAACATAAGAATATAAGAAAGGAACACTGCAGCAGGCCTACTGGCCCATGCGAGACAGGTCCAATTCTCCCGCCGCCTTAAGCCAATGCCTTGACCTAATCAGGTCAGGTCAGGTCAGGTCACATTCGGCATTCGACCTAATAGCACAAGCTAGTCAGGTTCAACTCACACCCACCCACACCTACTCATGCATTTATCCAACCTATTTTTAAAACTACACAACATTTTAGTTGTGTGACGGTACTCGGGAGTTTGTTCCACTCATCCACAACTATTACCAAACTGGTGCTTTCCTATACCCTTCCTAGAACAAGCTTCACCGAGACTGTCAAGTGACAGCCGCAAGCTAAACTCTTCTCCACTTCCGACGTCCTGCAGCTAACCTCACTACCGTTAATATTCTCTCCGGCCGTGGATGGTGAAGAGCACCGTAGTCACGGTGATCTTCACCATCTCCAAGGTTGAGGGACTGATTACCTCATCTTTTGTATATAGTTCCACAGACTTCACATTATGTCTTTGTATTGTATTGATATAGCTTCTGGATGGCGAAATGTCTACAAATAAGGATACCCAGATGGTATAGGCATAAATGGAATAAGATTTTTGTTTTGTAGTTGTTATCGTACGGCATCAGGATCCTCAAGTTTCAAGACACCGTGATCGTCGTCAGCGAGAATGTCAGTGCACTACCGATGGATATTTCTCAACCCTCCCTTCATAAGGCACACAGTGTGCCTTATAAATCATATGAAACAAACGTTTGGGTGGCGTTATCCCACTTTGGTGGTACACAGGTAGCGCAACAGGGTACAAGGTAAACCTGGATGTGGCGTTCTCCACAAGATGTTGAAATACTCCAACATTTGGGACGCAGGCGAAGGTGTTCTATGTGGGCTAGCAGCGGAACTCTTAGACATGTGACAGTTATTATCGTATGATTTTTGTAATTAGCCCGTCTACCTCGTTTAAGTGAGGAGGAAGTTGAAACATCGAAGCAGTGAGTCACAGAGCACATCAAAGAGGACTGAGGTGAGGATGGTGAGGATGTGCTTCCTTGAGAAAGAGGGACGGAGGCAGAGTTTCCTGTGGCAGTGAACAGTGTTCAGTCTGCTTAGAATGCTCATGTGTTGGATGACGTGTTGGACAAAGCATTACTGTAAACGCTTCCATCACTCGAGAAAGAAGTTCTTGCTGTAGTGGGTGATAAGCCTGTGTCTCAGGTCATTGGTGTAGCTAACGGGACGCCTACATCACGTCTGTTGCCAGGCGCCAACGCCTCGACGGACATAAGACAGGTGGAAGCCCTGCTTAGGAATGAAGCTCCGTACATTTCAGAGTAACATCCTTACTCGTCGCACTATTCTAATCTCCACTCACAAAGACTTAGAGAATTATTGCCCTAATAAACTACACCATATGCTCTCTGACACTATTATTTATCCTAATATCGCCTTTTGCTGGTGAGTACACATACATGAGTGACACAGCACTACCCTGCCACGATTCATCCACGCGGATGCGTTCATCGCCTCCGTTGTCACACTGATATTAAATAAATGAGCATCATTACAATAAGTGCAGCACCTTCAGTAAAACAGCACATAAGCCACATATCCTGGGTTCTCTAAATCCCTCACATTCTTCAGGTTATGATCCTGTCAGCCCCCACTTCCACCCCATATCTGTGTAGCAAACCTGCTAACTATGCTTGCATTGTTAATATAAAAGTTCCATTAGCGTTTAGGGTCAGTAAACTAAAGCCTAGCAAATGCAGGATGCCTCTTCAACTACTGTCATTTTCATTCACAGCTCCTTCATCTACAACACTTCTGCGAGGTGTGACCCCAGAAAGCTTGGGCTCCTTTACTATGATCGTATTGATTTTCACACCCCAGAATCTCTGTCAGGGCCTTCTTTTCAAGTTGCCTTTGCGCCATCGTTAAAACATCACGCGCTGCTCACTTCCTAAGAAAGACGACTTCAACCTCTCCCATTTCAACGAGGCATCTTGTGAGGCCCCCATCACTTCACTGATCTGAATCACAGACCTCTCCGCACAGACGGGACCGAGGCGTCCTGTGAGGCCACCTCAGCATCAGGCGTATCACCAATCACAGCGGAATCCCTTCTCTCCAGAGAGGGATACAATTTCCGACACATCAACATTCGATGCAGATCTACGATGCTCCACTCCCACTGCTACCGTGAGGTCTGCCTCCGCTACCTGTTTTACCGGAGTACCTCCGTTCGCCACCGCCTCTCACCTCCGTTCACCACCGCCTCTCACATCGTTACTACCACATCCTCTCAGCACGATCCTTTTTTGGTTTGATCCATGCCCCACAACTTCGAAGATCAGATTTCTTCCAACGATGCAGACGGTTTTGGATACTCGGTTGCCCCTCCTGACTGGAACATTCTCCAGCTATACGATAGTTGCTGTAACATTTCGTGCAGGTACGCTGCTGCTGCTGTTATATGGCACACCTGCACCTACATCCCAAATGTTGTCAAGATAACATAGGTCACCAGGAGGTATTTCAACATCTTGAAAATGTGGCGATTATCCTCTTGTCCCGTTGTTACTTGGTAACTATTCTATCGTACCACTCAGACTGCAACAGCTTCACAAACATGCATTTCACTCCACATCTGCTAGCTCGTATGTTCCCCGGATTATTGTTAGCGGCAACACAATCGATGCACTGGACCTAAAAGCTCCCTTCAATGACTCAGTAACGACAGTATTAACGAGTTTCCCCTGACCGGTAGTACACATAACAAACCACGGAACGGATGGTTTGTTTGCAATTGTGTTACTACGATTTCATGAGCTCATGCAACGAAGCTCGAACCATCTGTGAGAATAGAAAGTTACCAAGGCGCGAAGCACACGTCTTCACAAGCTGTATAATGAATAAAATTAATGGAAACTTCTGTTACGGATATCATCGCCTTCCTTGAAAACGCCAACTCTTAACTAAAGATCAACATGCTGTTTGCAATAAAATATCCTTCCTAACAAATTTACTAGTCTTTTATTGTAGCTGCATCTAAAAAATGGGACAGCTACATAGCACAGCTGTAGCATGGCCCAAAAACAGGAAGACATTTGACAAAGTACAACATAAGAGACTACCTAATACAACTGAAGGTTCACTGTGTAAGTGACAATCTCCCGAACTGAATCAGTGATTTTCTCACTGACAAAATATCTGAAAGAAGAAACGTAGTGTGTGTGTGTGTGGGGGGGGGGTGATGGGGGCTCAATGTTGCAATATTTGCAGATGACACGAAATTAGGGAGATGTGTTGCATCCATGATCAGAGAAGCTGGACAGTGATCTGTTATCATGAGAGTGGGGGATGAACTTCAGTGTGGACGAAGGATAGGTAATGAACTCTCAAGATAAACGCAAATGAATATAACTTCAATGGAAACCAACTCATAGGGACTAAGGAGCAGAAAAACTTTGGAATAGTTATAAACAATAATCTGAGATATTTTAAAGCAGTGCCTGCACTTGAAGGACGGGTGTTAATGTTGCAGTTTAAAAAAAGTAGTGTAAGCACCCTTGCTACCAGCAATAAGGTCAACAGAATCCTTGGTTTCAGTCCCTCAGCCTTGATACTAGGTAGTCAGTCCCACCAACCGTGACTGATCAAGTGATAACTATAGGATGTTACACTCGTAGGAGGCCCTGAGTTGGTACTCCCGTAGTTGCAACCGTCTTGTTTGTATATTATACCTGTAGTAAATGATAACTCGGGGCCTCCTACGAGTGAAACACTCGGTACATCGACTGTCTCTAGTGGTATGTTCTTGTTATACGCTCAAGCGTCTCTTTCTTCAACTTATCGGTATTGTGCCATTATTAGTATGATCCTTTTCATATTTCTCACCTCCATTGTGCCATTATTAGTATGATCCTTTTCATATTTCTCACCTCCATTGTACCATTATTAATATGATCCTTTTCATATTTCTCACCTCCATTGTACCATTATTAGTATGATCCTTTTCATATTTCTCACCTCCATTGTACCATTATTAACATGATCCTTTTCATATTTCTCACCTCCATTGTACCATTATTAGTATGATCCTTTTCATATTTCTCACCTCCATTGTACCATTATTAGTATGATCCTTTTCATATTTCTCACCTCCATTGTACCATTATTAATATGATCTTTTCATATTTCTCACCTCCATTGTACCATTATTAGTATGATCCTTTTCATATTTCTCACCTCCATTGTACCATTATTAACATGATCCTTTTCATATTTCTCACCTCCATTGTACCATTATTAATATGATCCTTTTCATATTTCTCACCTCCATTGTACCATTATTAGTATGATCCTTTTCATATTTCTCACCTCCACTGTACCATTATTAATATGATCCTTTTCATATTTCTCACCTTCATTGTACCATTATTAATATGATCCTTTTCATATTTCTCACCTCCATTGTATCATTATTAATATGATCCTTTTCATATTTCTCACCTCCATTGTATCGTTATTAATATGATCCTTTTCATATTTCTCACCTTCATTGTACCATTATTAATATGATCCTTTTCATATTTCTCACCTTCATTGTATCATTATTAATATGATCCTTTTCATATTTCTCACCTCCATTGTACCATTATTAATATGATCCTTTTCATATTTCTCACCTCCATTGTACCATTATTAATATGATTCTTTTCATATTTCTCACCTTCATTGTACCATTATTAATATGATCCTTTTCATATTTCTCACCTTCATTGTACCATTATTAATATGATCCTTTTCATATTTCTCACCTTTATTATACCATTATTAATATGATCCTTTTCATATTTCTCACCTCCACTCGGGCAAATAATAGAACCTTTTTTCCCACTTCCAGACAGTTGTGTGGCCTGAGCGGCTAGTTTACTGTACACCTGCGGTTCATTCTGGGGCCAGTAATGGAAAAAAATATTACAGAGGTCACATGGGTCTTTATCAGGGCACACAGGGCAAAGTTATATCACAAACAAATTATTTCGGTCATTTTACACACTACAATTCATTCTTAGAGGGAATATACACAGTACATTAGTGTACACAATACAGTATTGTACACAATACAGTATTGTACACAATACAGTATTGTACACAATACAGTATTGTACACAATACAATAACATGCACAATACAAATGTTTGAAACTTTAAATATTTTATTATTAATAAGTAACTCGTCATTATTGAGTTGGGGAACGAGAGGCGATCTGGATCAATCTAGGCTCTAGGGAGAAAGGAAGGATAGATTCAGTTCCTTGGATCAAGAGCCCCCTCACAGTCATCAAAGCACCTCCATTGAGAGGGTGCAAATGTGTTGCAAGTGATTTGATGTAATGTGTCAAAATATTTTAATTCAAGTCCATATTTTTTTCCTGTAAGACTGGTAAGAAAAACTGCTTTGAGTGGCACGGCCCTGCTTGCCCGGGTACGTGCCAGGGATGAACACAACTCCACCTGTCGGTGTTCACTACTGACATGCACCATAACTCATATTGACGAAGTGACACGTTGCAGAACAAATTTTATACTGGGGTCTCGTGTCTCTCTGTCAGAACTCTGTCTCTTTTTCCCTGTAACACACCCAATAAAAACCTGGTTATGCAACTTGCGTTTATTCTTTACTACACAAATAACCCGCACAGGAGGAACCTCTGACAACGTTTCCGTTAACTAGTCATAGTGTATAATTAGTTAATGGTCCAAGTCTGACCGAAAAGCTGTCGTAAGTTTTCTCTATGTGCGGGTAATTTGTGTATTGTTACAGGCACAGTATTGTGTCTTTATTTTTTACTCTTCACAAGTCGGCATTACGTAGTTCATATCGCTTCATTAGTCGGCAGTACGTCTTTCAGAACTACCATAGCTTAGAGTTGTAGAGTATATATTTTCCCCCCCTAGAAGACTTCCTGCAGTGTTGGCAGTGATGACGACATGCTGCAGTTTTTCGTAAGCAGCTCCAACCGTGACGTGGGAAATGACAACAGTCTTCAGCGGACACTTGCCAAAAGAACTACCTCGCTACTGACAAAGGTTGAAGGACTCGCAGCAGCGCACACGTCTGACGCAGGGAGAGCCACGACCACCGGCAGGACCATGAAGCCAGCGGAATGGATGAGTCTGGTCCGCTTGTTGTTGAACATGGTACCAAACTCCACTTTAGACCCTAGTGCCGTTACAGGTAAGGTTTCTGGCTCCAGTTCCTCAACTAATATCATAGACAACCTGAGTGTAATGAACGATTGTCAATGCTCATTAATGACCAACATGAAGACAGAAACACAGGAGGTAGATTGATCTGTATATTTCGACTCCCTTCTGGGGGTCGAAATAGAGCATAGACAACTTAGTGACTTCACCTACATGACTGACTTACCTAGTTTCTTAAGCATAAAACTTAACGACCTTACCTGGGCTATTAAATTTGCACATCATCTTTACGTTAACAATCCAAAGTGCTTTAATCCCAGGGAAAGAAAAAGTGTGCGTAAATAAAATGAAAGATACAGAACTCTTGGTGTAAAACAGGCTCACTAAAGCCATCGAGATCTCTCTGGCTTACTGAGGTCCATAATGAACACCCGTCGGGCTCACGGTTGAACCCCAGGGGAAAGAAAAAAGTTGAGTTTCATGGAAGAAGAAAATTTACTGATTAGACCAAGAATTCATTAGCGCTGTAACCCTTCGACTGTTTTACTTAAGTTCGCAGACAGTTTAATGGAGTAATATCTTATCCACGTATACCGTCACTTAATTAATATATGTATTCCGAGGAGCAGTGACTTTCAGTGAATGACTCACGGAATCGTAATAACACGATTGCAGACAGACAGTGGAAGATGAGGCAATTAGTCTCTTAGTCTAGAAATCGGCGTTCATTACTTTAGCCATGATGAAAAAGCCACTGGTAGGAGTAACGTCTTCAGATAAAGATACCCAGGTGCTGCCCAGGTGTCTAACTCCTCATCTTATGGGTACAGTACACCATCACTGCGGTGGTCCCGTTGCAAGGTGAACCCATGCCAAGTGAACCCATGGCAAGTGAACTCATGGCAAATGAACCCATGGCAAGTGAATCCATGGCAAGTAAATCCATGGTAAGGTGAACTCATGGCAAGGTGAACCCATGGCAAGACCCACCCTTTCCAAGATTTGTTCACAATCGTGTTATTATGATTTCGGTAGTTGTGTCTACAAGTCTGCCAGATTTGGTGTTTAAATCACAAAATTCGTAAATCCTTATTTTATTTTACGTAAAGCGACTCCAGCATTAACCCGAGTCGTTATTCCTCGCCCTGCAGACTCGCCCGCGTGTGAAGGTTGTTGTGTCACCAAGGACGGGGTAGTCCGCTTGAACTTCGAACTATGGAAAAAGGAGCCATGCGTCTCTTGCCTGTGCCAAAACGGTGTAGAGACGTGTACTAGACGAGAGTGTCACCCTACCACCACCACCACCACAACCCCTACCACCACCACAACCCCTACCACCACCACAACCCCTACCACCACCACAACCCCTACCGCAACTACCATCACCACTACCACTCCCACTACGAAAACGCCTAGCAACGCCATTCTAAGATTTATCAACGCCATTCTTGGATCTGGCTACGCCGTCTCGGGCCCTAGAAATGCCACCTCAATACCTTGCGGTGCTGTACAAATGCCCGGAGACATCTCAGTGCCCAGGGCCATGTGCTGCTGCCCATCCAGTTGTCCCTCACAGTAAGTAAACCTATGGATTTTATTATATATGCTGTACTGTCATCAAAACCGATAGACTGAACATATCGATTCCAGGCTAAGGAACTGATTACCTCAAACTCCTCCTCTTTTTATACCGTTCATCTTTGTATTGGACTGATGAAGCTACAGTGTGGCGAAATGTTTCCTCTTTAATATGACTGTATCAGCAATATAACAAATTCAAAGCTAAATTCATTTGCCAGTCTGTTTTGATTCTCTTGTGACCTCCACAGAGAGTTACTGACACTGTTACCAGCCATTAGCCAACAGCGCCGGAAAATACCATCTTTTATACAGTCAACACCAGGAATAATGGAAGCAAAGCCAACTGCAACACCACCGCTGCTTGCATCACCACCGCTGCCTGCAACACCATCTCTGCCTGCAACACCACCGCTGCTTGCAACACCACCGCTGCTTGCAACACCTCATCTGCCTGCAACACTACCTCAACTTGGGTAAGCAAATACTGTATGTTCATGCCAGAAATGTTTTTAAATTTTAGACCACCTAAGGTAGCATTCGATTCTCCTCATGATGATCGACAGTCCTCAGGATGGTCGACAGTCCTCAGGATGGTCGACAGTCCTCAGGATAGTCGACAGTCCTCAGGATGGTCGACAGTCCTCAGGATAGTCGACAGTCTTCAGGATGGTCGACAGTCCTCAAGATGGGAAAGAGATTACGTTATCAACCACAAGTTGTTGTATCAATTAAGGTATTCTTGCATTTAGTGCCCTTACTACTTTTGAGCATTTTACTTCTTCAGTGTAGAAGCAGAAGAACAGAGCCATTACCCTGAAGGTTGTGTGACTGTATATATATATTAATTTTTTAAATTTCTGAGGCTTTAAATCAGTCTTTCTGGCGGAAAAAGAAGCTACATTTCATTTCAGTTTAATTACAAATACAGTTTTTTAATAAAGTGAAACCAGCGAGTAAGACTCGAACCTTCGTCAAGGGTTTAGTGTAATCTGATACACTCTTTCTCACCCTAGATTTTGTGTGGAAGTGGATGGTCAGATCTACGAAGACGGGGACGAGTGGGAGATACCTGGAGACAACTGCGTCCATAAGCAGTGCAACAACAGCAGAGTAACTCTTATTGTCATGGAATGTCCCCCGTCTCCTTGGATGAACTGCAGACAGGTGGCGAGGCCTGGGATGTGCTGCCCTCAGTGGGACTGTCTGTAAGTAGTGAATCGATCGGAATTATTATCTCGCTTTTAATCCAAACTGCTGCTACAATAACATGTTATGAGGAAGGTTAAACTAAATCATATCATATTTCAAGTAGTAAATTTTAACACTTTTTCAGTGATTTATATGCATATTTTAGCTAAAAATTGAAGTATATTTAGTCGCCCTCTTGATCTTGCACGACGCCTCAAGAAGCAAATAAAACATAACTTTTAGAGAATCACGATGAATGTATTGTTTTCTTAGTTATTTTAAGTCATCCCTCGCAGGAAAATAGATGGAGTAGAGGTAATCAAGTCTAATCCAACGGATTAAAGGCTAGTTCTAATTCTTTTGATAGAAAGGCCTTCACTAGCATCATGACATCCTCCTTGGTGGGTTTGAAGACCTCAAGATGGGATCCAAACTGAGACACACAGTAAAGCCTTCCTCAAGGTTTCACGACGGAGAATATTTTGTACATCGATGAAAGGGTGACAAAGTAGTGCCACAGCTGAATAAAAGAAACAACTTGAAGTTGTGACTTGTAAATGGTCCAAGTCGGACCGAAACATCGTCGTGAGTTTCTCTCTCCTATGTGCGGGTTATCTGTGTAACTTGGAGTTGCTTAGAGCCACCGCTGACCTCACCAGAGACTAGCTATAAAGACTACCAGTCAAGAGAAACAGTAATGCAGAGAAATTAACAACAATAAAAGTACTGGTAAACATTGTGTAAGTTATTATAAATCAATAACTACCATGAACAGTGTAAGACTGCATTTATTTGGCTCATCAGAATGACTGTTTCTCATTTCTCCTCAACAGAGATGCGCCACTAGTAACTACAATGCAACCAGAGCAGACTACAACATCACTACAGTCTATCACCATACCAGTGGAAACTACAATGCCATCATTGCCGACTAATCCTCCTGGGTAAGCAAATACATCCATGTGCAGGTTTTCTTTCAATTCCCCATGATCAGCATAGCCATGATTGAGAATGTGGCTTTTCCACTGTTTTCAATGCCACATCAAGATTTAATGCCTCTGTGCGAATCTCCTTTGCACATAACATACAATCATTCAATACTAAATAGCGTCACATATTTCTAATTCAGAGTGCATTCTCGACCAGGAAATGGGATTTGAAGCCATTTATTTACATGTGCCTCAAATAGCTGACCTAACAGTTCTTATTTTCCAGAGATTCTACGTCTTTACTCACGAAATAACACGACTGCAAACCACGAAACGAGTGGTGTTAGAATCATTTTCCATGGATTCAAACACCATCTGTTCCCTGATCTGATATACAATGCTTTCTGTTTTTTTATTATGTTTTAGAAGCTCAGGTAGGCTATATGGACCTTTCACTTGGTCTACAGGTGGCCTGCCAGTGTTGTTGTAATAGAACAGGTCTGGTGTGGTCTTCGTAACCAAAACTAATGTGGAAAACTTGACATAATTTTCGGTATGTCTCTTGGGCATCTTGTCCTCTCGTCTGTGGGAAAAATTTACTCAAAGAAAGGAAGTTGTTTTTTTTTTTGGTACAACGTTTCACCCACAAGGAGGTGAGGAGAGAGCGTCATCAACTACAGTGTAAAACCCTCCCCTCCTTTGGGCGAAACGATGGAATAATAAAAGTTTCCATACGTTTATTGTATTTTTACTATCTGTCTGCAATTGCGCCTTCTGCATAATTTCCGTCTCTCTCCTGTGAGTAAATTTTTAACTCTCTAGACCCCTCAAGAAAGGTTCCTTGATGTTGGTGAGGGGCTCTTGATTTAGGGAATTGGATCTGTGCTCCAGTTCCCCGAATTAAGCCTGAATGCCTTCCACATCCCCCCCCCCAGGCGCTGCATAATCCTCCGGGTTTAGCGCTTCCCCCTTGATTATAATAATAATAATTAACTCTCTAGACACATCTTCATCTATCCTCAGCTGCACAAGCAGAATACAGTTGTCATAATGATAATACGTATGTGTAAAATATTATTATTTGCAACTATAAATGTGAACTAGATCCTTCTAATGATTTAAAAGCACATTTTGATGTTAAAAAGTTGTCTGTTTTATAAGATACTAAATAATTAAAATGATTTCTAGTTTATTTATAAGTCTCTGCTAAATACTTCTTCTACAGTCATGGTCCAGGCCGCGGGGGCGTTGACCCCCGGAGCACCCTCTCCAAGTGTAGTGCTTATTCAGATTTAATAACCTCGTTTTTTTTTCATTCTAGTGTTTGTGTGGATGTGGATAGTAAGATATACGAAGACGGGGATGAGTGGGAGATACCTGGAGACAACTGCGTCCACAAGCAGTGTAACAACAGTCAAGTAAATATGGTGTTCATGGAATGTCCACCGTCGCCTGGAAGGAACTGTGAGCAGGTGGCGAGACCTGGGATATGTTGCCCCGAGTGGGTCTGTCTGTACGTACTGAGAGTTTTTGTTTAGCTATTTCCCTTGAGTTCTCGCGTATTACCCCTAAGGTGTCCCGTAGCTCGATCGCTACCGCACTCGGCTCACACACTGAGGTCCGGGGATCGATCCCCAAGTACAGCTGGGAAAAACATTAGGACATATTTCCATAAGATACCTGCTGTCCCTGTTCACCTATCAGTAAAATGGGTACCTGGGTGTTAGTAGACTGGTGTGGGTCGCATCCTGGAACAAAATTTACCTAATTTGCCAGAAATGCTCTACATAAAGAGGGACATTGCTGTCAGCTATTAAGTTTAATAACTTAAAAATTCAAGGAGGGTTTTTGACAACTGAATAATTACACGTGTCTGACTGACAGATTTCCGTATTGTCGACACAATAGCAGGTATTTTATATAGTCATAATTTATAGTCATACAACGGCTTAGAGAGCTCTCTTTCAATTGTTACTTGATCATGGTCCAGGATGGATAGAAATGCCACTTAAAGTGTTGTATTGAAACCTTTTGAACCAGCAGCGAGACAACGATGCTCGTGTGAAGCCAACATGCTCACTAGCTGGAAAAATAAGCCAACATGCTCACTAGCTGGAAAAATAAACCACTCACTACTGGAAAAAAACCACATGCTCACTAGCTAGAAAAATAAAGCCAACATACTCACTAGCTGGAATAAATAAGCCAACATGCTCACTAGCTGGAAAAATAAGCCAACATGCTCACTAGCTGGAAAAATAAACCAACATGCTCACTAGCTGGAAAAATAAGCCAACATGCTCACTAGCTGGAAAAATAAGCCAACATGCTCACTAGCTGAAAATATAAAGCCTACATGCTCACTACTGAAAAATAAGCCAACATGCTCACTAGCTGGAAAAATAAACCAACATGCTTACTACCTGGAAAAATAAACCAACATACTCACTACCTGGAAAAATAAACCAACATGCTCACTACCTGGAAAAATAAACCACCATGCTCACCACCTGGAAAAATAAACCAACATGCTCACTACCTGGAAAAATAAACCAACATGCTCACTACCTGGAAAAATAAACCAACATGCTCACTAGCTGGAAAAATAAACCAACATGCTCACTACCTGGAAAAATAGACACAAATATAGGAAACTTATTTTGAACATAGCTTTGAGACATGTACTGTTCTCTCGTGTGTAGGAACCGTCCTCAGATCGTTGTGTTGGTGTCAACAGTTTTGGAAAATAATAATCTAATCTGAACTAAATAAAGATTACAACAAAGCTTCATTACTTGGGTAATAATGAAAATGGGATGGGATAATATTTTTGCTAGTGGATTTGGGTTTGAGAAGGACCTGCCTAGTATGGGCAAGTAGGCCTCCTGCAGTGTTCCTCCTTTTCTTATGTTCTTATGTTCTTACATGATGAACACTGCATACAGCAGTAACTGATATATACGGCAAAGGGTAAATTTCTGAACCTGAGACTGTCAAGATGATTGTAATGCGCATTTGTAGTGGAAGTTATAGTGGAAGTTGTAGTGGAAGTTGTAGTGGAAGTTGTAGTGGAAGTTGTAGTGGAAGTTGTAGTGGAAGTTATAGTGGAAGTTGTAGTGGAAGTTGTAGTGGAAGTTGTAGTGGAAGTTATAGTGGAAGTTGTAGTGGAAGTTGTAGTGGGAAGTTGTAGTGGAAGTTGTAGTGGAAGTTGTAGTGGAAGTTGTAGTGGAAGTTGTAGTGGAAGTTGTAGTGAAAGTTGTAGTGGAAGTTGTAGTGGAAGTGTAGTGAAGTTGTAGTGGAAGTTGTAGTGGAAGTTGTATGGAAGTTGTAGTGGAAGTTGTAGTGGAAGTTGTAGTGAAAGTTGTAGTGGGAAGTTGTAGTGGAAGTTGTAGTGGAAGTTGTAGTGGAAGTTGTAGTGGAAGTTGTAGTGGAAGTTGTAGTGGAAGTTGTAGTGGAAGTTGTAGTGGAAGTTGTAGTGGAAGTTGTAGTGAAAGTTGTAGGGGAAGTTGTAGTGGAAGTTGTAGTGGAAGTTGTAGTGGAAGTTATAGTGGAAGTTATAGTGGAAGTTATAGTGGAAATTATAGTGGAAGTTATAGTGGAACCATACCCCGGCGGGGGTATGGTTTATTTGCAATCGTGTCATTACGATTTCTTGAGTCATGTTATAGTGGAAGTTGTAGTGAAAGTTATAGTGGAAGTTATAGTGGAAGTTATAGTGGAAGTTATAGTGGAAGTTGTAGTGGGAGTTGTAGTGGAAGTTGTAGTGAAAGTTATAGTGGAAATTGTAGTGAAAGTTATAGTGGAAGTTGTAGTGAAAGTTATAGTGGAAATTGTAGTGAAAGTTATAGTGGAAGTTGTAGTGAAAGTTGTAGTAGAAGTTTTAGTAGTAACTGAAAATTACTACTCAAGGGGAATTAGAAGTTAGGGAACTAGCCTCTAACATCATAAAAGGTGACAAGTGCAATTAATGTGACATTTTCTTATGGCAACGTTTCGCTCTCCAGGAACCTGAAAAAGCTGGGAGCGAAACGTTGCACAATAAAAATGTCACATCCCTAAAATGGTCTTTTACCCAACTTTTCCCAGTAATTCTTCAAATTAATACATTAAAAAGAAGAAAAACCTTTAAAACATTCCCTTTAATGCTAAATTTTAAGTTAACTAATATACTTGCAGACTTTTTTTCAAAATGGAAATTATTTTTTCCCTTTTGACACTTACACCCCTCTCAGTGATCGTCGTACAGTTCACGGGGGGGAAAACACTGTATGTGAAAAGGGAAAGGGTGACATCCCCAGTCTCCCGTGAAGACTACAGGAGACTGACTGGGGAAATTAGTCTGACGATAAAATTAAAAATAATATAAAAATTAAAAAAATAATAAAAAAATTTGAGATTGCTGCTAACATATCATTCCAAGTAGGGACTGATTACCTCAAACTCCTCCTATCTTCCCCGTTCTTTCTTTTTGGGACTGAAAAGCCACTGTTTGGGCCAATTTTTCCCCAAAAAGGTTACCTAGTACCTCTTTTTTCAACTGTCGGTTTTTATGACTACAATAAAATTTTAAAAAAATAGAAGATTTTGAAAAATATTACATTCAAATGTTTGAGTGCATTTAATTTCCCAACTTATTCTCAATTTTCCCAAAATTTTCTCACCATGAGCTACAGCCCCAAGGGCAAAACACCCCCACTACAGTTTCCCAGTAACCCCTAAACAAGCCCCCGGCCACAGGTCCCAAAACTAACCCCCCGGGGGAAAGAAAAGTGGCCTGTTCAATTTTTTTTTAATTCAATTTTCAATAAGTAGCAGCGGCTGGGAGGGATTACTTTGATGTGGGCCTGCGTGTGTTGTTGTCGCGCAGTTTAAAGTTTTTTCCTTTCTGTAAGGGCTCATTTCACTACATAGTAGTGGTTATTTAGGCAATTAAACACTGCTGCTAGCAGGAGATCGAACCCGGGTTAATTTAGACCCCTCGTGGGAAAACAATAAAAATCCACAGCTCTAACAAAGACATCGGGGTTGTGATTTGCTTCCCTCGGGCGGACCAAATTAACACGGCTCGACCCCCGGCGGCCACAGTTTGTTAAATACAGTAGTGGAAATCAGACAAATTTAGAAAAAAAGTTTTTCAAAAATATTTTTTAGAGGGGGACAGCAAATTGGTTTTAATTTATTTGCAGGGGTTTAAATCTATTGCGGACCCCACGCATACGAAGAGATTTGCTTATATCCACATTTTTTTTTTTTGTTTTTAACAACCTACAAGGAATAATCAATTTATGAAAAAAAAAGGGTTCAAATTTTGATTATAAAATAAATAATAAATTTTAGAGATCCCAGTCTTACCAATATATATTTATATATATATTATAATATATAAAATATTTTATAATAATATATATTATAATATATATATTATAAATTTTTATTTTTACATATGTGTTATATATATATATAATATATAATTATATATAATATATTTATATATATATATATATATTAAAAAATATATTTTGGCCGAAAAGGCGAACTTGCCATCTTGGCTTAAATAGCAACGCCCATCTTGCCCTTAGGACAAGTAAAAATTTTTGGGATGCAATAATTTCGCCAAAATCATTCTGAACCTGACGAAAAAAATATATATTGATTGTGTTTGTTTAGTGCTAAATTATGTAAACGTATTTAAATATATTTAGTTGGGTTAGGCTAAAATAAATTGTTTTTGTTATAATAAGGTTAGTAAGTTTCTAAGATTTTTTATTGCAAAATTAACAAATTTTACATTAACATTAATGAAAAAAATATATCTTTAAACGTATAAGAGAAAATTTCACAAAGGACTTAATTTTAAATGAGTTCTTGCTAATTGACCAGTTTTACATATTCGGCACGACATATATATATACATATATATATGTCGTGCCGAATAGGCAGAACTTGCCATCTTGGCTTAAATAGCAACGCTCATCTTGCCATATAAGACAAGCGAAAATTTGTGTATGCAATAATTTCGCCAAAATCATTCTGAACCTAACGAAAAAAAATATATTTCACTGTGTTTGTTTAGTATTAAATTATTGTAAACAAATCTAAAATATATTTAGTTGGATAAGGCTAAAATAAATTGTTCTTCTTATAATAAGGTTAGGTAAGTTTTCTAAGATTCTTTTGGAGCAAAATTAAAATTTTTTACATTAACATTAATGAAAAAAATAAATCTTTAAACGTATAAGAGAAAATTTTAGAAAGGACTTAATTTTAAATAAGTTCTTGCTAATTGGCCAGTTTTACATATTCGGCACGACATATATATAATATATATATATATATATATATATATATATATATATATATATATATATATATATATATATATATATATATATATATATATATTTACAATTGGGATTGTATCAGTCTTCCTTCATCAAGATGTTAGGTTCAAAAATCCCTGATGCACTGTGATTCTGAAATGTGTCAAATATAAGGAACAAAAAGGCACAATGTCGTGACTGGAACAATACATAATAACCCGCACATAGGAGAGAGAAGCTTATGAAATGGCCAAACTCAGACGTAGCGTTGTCATAAGCTTCTCTCTCCTATGTGCGGGTTATTAATGTTATAATGTCTATGTAAAGTTTAATCTAGTTTTCAGTAGGTAAATATAATGACATTACTCGTTAGAACAAGTGGTTCCTAAGGTTTATCATCCTCTTTGTCGTTCTTCCAGTTATTGTGTGGATAAGGACGGTAAGATCTACGAAGATGGGGACGAGTGGGAGATACCTGGAGACAACTGCGTCCATAAGCAGTGTAATAACAGCCAGATAGATTTCGTGGGGCTGGAATGTCCACTGTCGCCTGGGAAGAACTGCAAGCAGGTGGCGATGCCTGGATTGTGTTGCCCTCAGTGGTAAGTAAGTAAGTAAGTACTGTCAGTGAGTAATGTGAGCAGTGTTAAAGACTAACTGTGTGGAATCCCTTATTGGTATAGTGTTTTACCCTCGGGTGGGATTTTTCAAGTACATTATGTACTTGAAAAAGTTCACCAGTTGGCGAAACGTGTTTTATTAAAGTACTTCACTGCAATTAGTATTTACGTCACCCCTGTAGGGTGTTACACCTCCACTTCGTAACATTATACTGTGAGCCACGTAAACAGTGATTATTTTGTCATTGCTTTTATTGAGCGTCCACCTTAATTAAGCTGGCCAATGTTACCAAGGTACACATTAAACATAACTAAGCCTCGAGACTCACAATGGACTCGCTTTTGTCTTCCATTCGTTAGTTACAAACACACCAACGAACTTTTTTTCCATTCGTTATTTACAAGACTTAAGAATGGATCCAAACACAACAACGAAGATTTTTTTTTTCAATAGCGTTACTGAAGGCCAATCTTCGTTCCAGACAATATTTACATATCGACAATAATATGTCACAGAGGGGAAACATTATGAATATCAATAGAAGGGTAATCTGTCGCATCGTGCTCAAAGTTTGTAGAGGAAGTTAGAGCAGCTCCTGCCTGTAATAGATTCAAGGTAATAAAATGACTTAATTCTACTGTTTCTCGTTGCTTCTCAGCAGTGATGCGCCATTAACAGCCACAAAGTCACAAGGGTCACCTACAACGCCACTACCTGCTCCAGTATCTCCTCTACAAGCTACTCCTCCACCATTGACTGGGTAAGGAA